ATCACACTTCCCTATTTTGACAAATATTGAACAGATTTACCAACTTTCAGCACACGCTAATACCATACCATTCACGCTAATGGAGAATGAGCCGACTTTTCACTTGATTCATGAGATCAATAGACAATTCCCTAACAAGTTTATGGTCTCAGTCACTTGTTGTTCAAGTGATCTTCCATACATTATGTATGATTTGTAAATTATGGTCCAATTTAGAGTAAAATAGACAATAAAGCCGCGTATGCTTTTAGGTGTGGCTACCTTATGATTGACAAGTTATTCTCAGTGAGTCTGTCCAGCACACAAAACTCAGATCAAACTGTCAAACTGTCAACTAGATAGGTTCACACTTGGTTGTAACTGATGACTTGCTCCAACTCTTGGAGCCATTAATATGTCACGTTATGTCTGCATTAACAGATTTGTGGTTTAGTCCTCTACAAACTTGAATGGGGATAAAATGATTTAATCGTGCAGCTCTTCTATAAAATTTGTGACACCCAAGAAAAAACTATTCACCATTTGATGTTGCCATTGCTGCCATTGCTTACACGGTTTGGCCATTATGTTGGCTGCAAAGCTGACAAAAAACACAAAATTATCTAAAGCCACTGTTTGTTTTGTCCGTTCTGAGCTACTATAGAAACATGGCATTCAACATGGCAGACTCCATAGAAGAGATCCCATTCCCTCTGTAGCTAAAAACACTGATTACACCAGTGAAAACATACCTATGAATACATCCATTTCTGCCAAAAGACCATCCTGAATGTTACACAGCAGCCAGAGTTAAGTGCATGTCATTAGGGGCTAGTTAAGTTACCTCAGTCAGCCGTAAAGTGTCCAGATAAGCTCAGGCATAATAGTAAATGAAAGGGTGTGTATTGTGTTCTGCCACAGGAGATAAATAAAATGTCCCTGTTCATGCAACATTATTACAATGTTCCTGCATTCATCACAGCAAACTTGCAGCTGCAAAATGTTACCAGCAGAAACACTGGAACCCTTCCCTACTCCTGCAGGCTATCTTACAGCTGTAGCTACTCAAAACAGCCCAAACTCTCTTCATGACATGACGTGATATAACATTATTTAAATCAGCGCCAGTGATCTTGATAAAGGGGGAACAAAAAAGATGGACAGATTAGTCTGTGGATACTGCTGGAATTTCCCCTTGGGGATGAATAAAGTATCTATCTATCTATCTATCTATCTATCTATCTATCTATCTATCTATCTATCTATTTAGAATTGAGTACTTTATTAATGCCAATGGTAAATTTTAGTATTCCAGCAGAAAAGGTACCACTTTCTAATAAGTCACCATTTATGAAGGGTTTATAAGGGTTTTAAGTTTTAATTAATTCAGTAATGATCAAGTCATTTAGAAATGCTTTATAGATAGATTTACAGTTATAAGCCCTTATCAAGGGTCTACATGATCAATGAAGCATAAGTAAATAATGTATTAGGCATTAATAAGGTCATTGTGAACCCTATATGAATAGGGTGTACAGTGGTACAAAAATGTATAATATCAGATTCATTTCAAGATAATATTGCAGTAATATTCTCCATATTAAATGTAAAATATTTGGGTGGTGCTGGTTTGGATGGTGTATAAAACTGTATTTCTGATATTTTGTTGTCATATCCACGTACGTCGAGGTGAGGAAAATATTATGTGTGCTCACATGCAGCAGAGCAGGCAGTAACCTTGGCTGAGAACCATGCAATTATCACGGAAGCCCTTAAAGTGAGTCTACTACAGAAAAACTGTGGCTTCTGGTTTTTTTTCCATGTTCAGTGTTAAGTGATTTCAGTCCATTAAATTTATGCTTGTACAGTAATGGCAGCCAGTTTGACACAGGATAGTCTGGTGAGGACCCACTGTAGTATTACTGAAGTCAGACCCATTGGCAGAATTTAAATAAAACCATCCGATTAACCTCTCTGGAAGCATAAAATGGGAAATTAAAAGCACTGCAGTTATGGTGAAAGAACTAAAGGTAAGAGCACTAAATATCCCTTCAGCAAAAGGAAGTGACAGAACTAAAGACCTATTTCTGTTTGTGTGGCCTTCTAAAGTTGGCAGATCCTAGACTAAACTGTGCCACAGCTGAAATTATGCCTCAGTAATGTCTTCGAAGCCTTGTTCTGTTAAGTTGCATGCAAGAGACCGCCGTGCCTTGAAATACTGCCGCCACAAAAGCCACAGGGCAGGAGGGGACTGTCCGCCTCAGATTTGTAGCCCAGACTCACGGGGCGTGTTTTTGCCTCAAAATGGCGAGGGTGAAATTAAAGGCAGGGTTGTCATGTAATTGCACATGGATGTGCCCACTGCCCACGGCTCTGACCCCAGCTCTTGCACTCTAATGAAGGGTTGAGAGCTTGAATAGGGCAAACCCCGGCAAAGTAATGGCTACAGTGATGCTGGCCAAATAGATTTTGTAATGTGCTTATAGTACTAAGCACAGGGCCCTTATCTTTATCCTATCCGGTCATTCTCATTTAACCATTAGTTCTGTGCTTTGAATGAGAGGCTATTATATTACCAATTGCATAAACTGCATTATAATCAATTATGAATGTCCTTCGAATATTTTATATGTGTAGGCATTTGTGAGTGCGCACTGCTTTTATATTGCATTATGATTTATTAATAATGGATATTCCGATATGTTTATGTCCTGGGTCAAGTTAGTTAAACCCTTTCTATCTTCATCTACGGACAGCAAGCAAATCATGTACAAAGCTATTTAAATTTTTAAAAAATAGGTATATTTTATGTCAAATATCTCAGCTTTAATCTCTGTATTATTTTATTTGTTTTACTGTCGACATCGAAAAATCTCTAGCGCTGGAATTTAACAGTACAATTACTCAGGTGCTCTACTGAAGTAGAATTTTGAGGTAGTTGTACTGCAATTGAGTATTTACACTTTACCCAAGTCTATTTTTTTAAGTTACGTTACAAGTTGTTCACTCATCAGCAATAAAAACGGATTAATACAAAAATACTTCAGAATCTTATGGAACCTTTAAATTAAAGATCTAAATACTTCTTCCAGCCACTCACAATGTCCCCCATACTGCATACTGTATAAGGTCCAGGACAGGCTGTAGTTGAGCAGTGGAAACTTTCCCCGAGGAATGATTTTACCAGCTGTGAGGCCAGCTACTCTGAGGGAAAGAAGGTTATATAGTACAGTACCTTCAAATGAGGGGCTGTGGCTTGTAAGTTTATACTTAAATAATATAGAATTATAATGGCAGGAAATCACACATACGGTGTATTGATGATTTAGGGGAGATGTTCAGCTCCTGATGCTGGAAAATGGCAGCAATAGAGAACTTTAATTACTGTCCTGCTGACAAACATGACAGGAAAATTCAGCCTCGCTTAAACCAAAGACGTGGTTGCCTATATGTCTAACATTTTAGTGAGGGTGGTCCTGCAAAAGTGAAAAACCCTCCACCCATGCTCCTCTTCTTCTTAGTCTATGAATATACATAGACATAGACTCACTCTAACCACATATTATGGGTTTGTACTTGCTGATGGTTTCATATTTGGCTCAAAGTTTATGTAAATGCAGATGTGAGCCCAGCATCACTGCAGTTTGCTGAAAAACCCAAGGTTTTTCCGACCATGTTCCTGGCCTGTTAATCCAGCTGCCTTTACGTAGACCCACTGTGTGATTGGTCCCAGATTTGCTGCGGGTACAGAGTAACTATTTGGCTTTTTCCCTGAGATTTTCCCTTTGCTGCTGGCACAGTGTGACCTGCAGGAAATGACAGAGAATTGTGACTGTAACAATGGTAATGGACCAATGCCAGACCACAGCTGTTTATTCAACCACACAAAACATTCCTCTGAGTTAATAACCACAGACACTGGAAGAGATCTACTATTTAATGATTTGGTCTGTGACACAGTACAATATGTGCTTCGTTTGGGGAAAATTGCAAGCAGCCAAATGTGTGGCACCATATGAAGTAAAGCAAAATTCTTAGCGTTTGAGTCATATTCACATAATTCACAAATGCAGTCCACGATGCTCATGGCTCCATTATTCATGCCGCAATTTCTGGATTTTGTTTGAAAATAGTTTATTATTGTAGTCCCCATTTGGGTCATTTTATGTTTAGTCTTAAAACCTATGCAGTGTAGATTCCCACTTCACCACATCTATTTCAAAGAGTCATCATCTGTCTTTTCTGCCTCCCAGACTCTCTGAGTCCTTCTCCTTGCAGCCAGCCCTGCCCATCCTTCCTGGATATGAGGTCAGGACAGAAGGACCAGAACAAAGGCTGCAGTCATCTTAACTTAAACTCTTACAGCACACTCGCTCACTCGCTCTCTTCTTTTTTGTCCATGTCAAGGCGGGAAAAAAATCAGCTACTACAGACTCTAGGTCTTTGTTAAAGTTAGCTATATTTATGATCTGCAGAGACATGGCTTTTGTTGCATTGCATTCATTTTGTACTGAATATCACCGTGCTCTTAGTTGTTAGAGAGCGTGGTCTATTATTTCTCTGTCAGTCTCTGTCTATGCAGCCAGTTAGCTAGCTAGTTACTGTAGTAGCTTAAACTAATTTAAGCAAGCCACCTTATTAGCTGGTTAACTATTTTATATTTATTAAACATTCAAGCAAGCTAGTTAGCTATCTTAAATTCAAAGACTCAAAAGCTTTACAAGCAAATGAAGAAAAATAACTTTAATGAACCAATTTCTGACCCATGTTTTGCGAAGATAAATGACTAAACTTATAGTATGGACTTATAGTAGATGTGGCTGACTAAACACCTGAATCGATAAGAAATGCTAACAACATACTACCAAAATGTAATAAAAGCTCAATTATATAGAGTTTTTTATTTTATTTTTTAATATTCCTGGTTTTAACGTGTATGGGACACGTCTTAAAGGCATTATGGGTTGGCACATACCTCCGAGCTTCGATATGCTTCGTGGATTGAGCTGACCCCTCCAGCCTCTCTCTGCTCTCCCAGCCCGGGTTGGAGGAGGGGAGGAGAGGGGGGTGGTGGTGGAGGTGTGACTTCCAGCCAACCGTCGACGAGCTCCGGAGTTTAGAGATCAGTGAAAGATGAGGAGCTGCTCTCTTCCACGGAGCGAGGCAGAAGACGGAATTAAAGTTCAACATCAAATCACGGAAACACGGAGAAACGACAGCTCAGCAATGAAATGTATGTCTTTGAGTGTGCGTTTGACTATCAACTGAACCCTGCCTGCAAGCATCCTACGGTAAGTGGAGTTTAAACAGGAGTTTGCACACCTACTTTGTGAAATGTAATCGATTATCTCTAAAGTGTGTATTTGTGATTTAAAATGCAGCTAATTTCATGTCTAAAAAAAAAGCTGAGGTGAAGATTATTTACATTTTTAAATGAGCCTTTGGAAGTTTGGGCAGTGGTCCAAGATCCCTATGTAAACAAACAGCATCGTGGTATATTTTAAGTATGCTGTAGACTATATGTTTACTATATTTTCAAAGGTTCTCTGCAGGTATGTACTGGTTTTAATGACATCTTGTTGCCATAAGATTAAGGTAAACTTGATTATTCAGTTAAAATCCATCAGACAGATCTATGAATTGCTGTATTAGTAGGCCATGACAACATAATAATCTATGAATTTGCTCTATAATAACACCCACATTCCTCACATCCACTGCAGCTGAACCTGAATCTGCTGACACTGGACTCCTTGCTCACTTCTGACATCCAGTGTCAGCAGCCGGTGCTTTGAAGATGATCAATTCTCAGATATACCTCCACTACAACTACACAGGGAAACTGGACCACCGGCCCACCATCGGCACAAGCGAGGGCACCGTGGACACCAAGACCGTCGTTTTCCTCATCATATGCAGCTTCATCGTCCTGGAGAACCTCACCGTGCTGGTGGCCATATGGAGAAACCACAGGTTCCACAACCGCATGTACTTCTTCATTGCTAACCTGGCACTATGCGACCTGCTGGCTGGAGTCGCTTACCTGGTCAACTTGCTCCTGTCGGGAGAGAAGACCCTGCAGCTCTCACCCGCTCTCTGGTTTGTCAGAGAGGGAAGCATGTTTGTAGCACTTGGTGCCTCGATTTTCAGTCTCCTGGCTATTGCTATAGAGAGACACCTGACTATGATCAAGATGAGGCCTTATGATGCCAACAAGAATTACAGAGTGTTTCTGCTCATAGGGACCTGCTGGTTGATCGCTATATCTCTTGGAGCTTTGCCTATTCTAGGCTGGAACTGCCTGAAGAACCTCCCTGATTGCTCCACAATCCTCCCTCTCTACAGCAAGAAATACGTAGCTTTCTGTATCACAGTGTTCATGGTTTTGCTTTTAGCCATGTCAGTCCTGTATGCCCGCATCTACATCCTGGTTAAGTCCAGCAGCCGAAAGGTGAGCAAGCACAGAAACTCTGAGCATGCAATGTCCCTGCTGCGCACTGTCATCATTGTAGTTGGGGTCTTCATCGCCTGCTGGACGCCCCTCTTTGTCCTGCTCCTGGTGGATGTGGCATGTGGGAAGCACTGTTCCATCCTCTACAAGGCTGACTGGTTCATCGCAGTGGCTGTGCTTAACTCCGCCATGAACCCAGTCATTTACACTCTGGCCAGCCGCGAGATGAGACGGGCCTTCTTAGGTCTGGTGTGTGGCATTTGCTACAGGGGGAAGGTTTCTGTCAACGACAGCGGGAACAAGCAGTCTCTGGAGCCCAGCCGCAGCAGGAGCAAGTCGTGGAGCAGCCAAAACAACCCCAACCAGAGCCAGCGGAGCTCCAGGCAGGCGGAGCCGGAGAAGGAGCAGGAGACAGACACGGCCCATGGCGAGGTGTCAGTGGTTGCAGGAGGGGCTGCTCACGCCGTCCTTGAGAGTGACAGAAAAGACTGATTGAAGAGAACAAGATAGCATAGGAAGATGTGGGTGGTCCTAATGTGTAAACTCATTGAGTTGTGATTGATTTGTGGATTTCTTTAAGGAAATGTAGACATCAGGAAGAGGCTGCAGGGCAGTGGTTTCTCTTTTGTGTTATTTTATACATTGGCATTCCATATTTGGGACACTTATGTCCAAACTTGTCATTAGACTGATTAATTTATGAGGCCAATATGTTCAATTACACAATCAATAGCACCTCAGTAACACTACAAAGAGCTCATATTTCATCACCGTCCAGATAGAACAATGTATCTACAAATTAGGTTATTTTAAAGGAAACTAAAAGGTTAAATCCTTAATTGGTAGAGAAAATAAACAGAACAACTAAACTAAAAACCTCTTGGAGTATCTGAAAAAATATATATTTGTAGCTCATAAAAAGTGGATGTTTTAGAGGTGGTTTTTGCAGGACAATGACAATTTGTGAACAACTGGTGCTCTAACCTTTGGCAGAGGAATCATTTACCTCTGTGGTTACAGACATGACCATCCAAGACTAACAAGTGAAAGGTCACCTACAATGAATTAAAGTGCAATTATAGTTCTACAAAATAATGTAATGAAAAATGATTGTAGACAATTATTAGTGTAATGTCAAACAATAGTAATTATTTATTATTCTATGCAGTCTAATTTTGTATTTACTCAGTAATACTACAGTATACGGTGCAGTTACTGTAATTAAAACTGCATTATAAGTTGTATATGTGATGTAAATGAGATTGAAAAAAAACACTTGATACCCTTTCCATTATAACAGTAGCATCATTCAAACTGCGTTATTCTGCAAAGAATTAATGTAACTGATGCAGTTCATTCAACATCAGTAAGTCAGTGATACCAGAGCTCCATCTGCTGGTTAATGATGGTAGTTAATATCATCATTGCTGACAAGATACCTTCACAACATTCTGCATGTTCAGTACAGAATCCTGATTTTAGTACCAAATTGAAACTTAAATTGTGTGAGTGAGTGTGTGTGAGAGAGAGAGTGTGCGTGTGCGTGTGCGTGTGTGTGTGTGTGTGTGTGTGTTTTACCTGATCATTCCTGAAGTGGAAAACAAATGTAGCAACTTTAAAAGCATGAAGCTGGTAAACTGGAGAAAGAGGCATGTGAATGCAGCATGCGAAATAGAAATAGTGTGCTACGTGCAGCTTTTTATACGATGCGAAATATTATCTTTGACACAAGTAAAATGTAAGTAAACATACTGTATAACAATGATTCACCTAGATCACCCCATGTTGCCACAGAGTGCAGTTAATTCAGGTTGATTCACCCAAATGTTTAAGAAATTGTAGTGGTGTCTAGCCACGCAGGTAGTTTTGATTTTGTATGTCTAACTTTCGACACATCAGTTACTGCCACCATAATAAAGTGGAGGTGAATGGATTTTTGTTTTGTTGATAAAAATCAACATAATATAATAATAAATAAAATATTATAATAAATATTCAACAGCAACATATTTTACAGATATAGCCTCCCTGTTTCTGGATAATCAGAAAATCTAAAAATCTGGGAAAATACACAAAAACTACCTGGATAGCAAGACATCACTAGTAAGTTGGAAAATATTTTAATGATTTGGATTAACCAACCCAGGAAACTGTGATGACACTATGGCTAAATGCTGTCTACCATAAAATGAAATATGTTACTGATTATTACAGCAGAGAAAAAAACAGAGATTCTACACATTCACGGTTTTATTGCCAACAGTCATACAGAATAATGATAAACCCATACAACCAAAAGATTAAATCTGTAAACATCATTTGGACTTGTTGTTTCTTTGTTTTTATTTCCTTTTTTTTTTTTTTTTTTTTTTTTTTTACTATACCTGTTCCAAAATAGTGAGTTTCTGTGTGATTCCCTCCGACAAAGATTTATATTTAGAATCTGGAAATGATACATTTATAATATATAATAGAGAGGGAGGGAGGGAGAGAAAGAGACAGATAGAGAGAGAAAACAGTAGTCTCAAGCAGCAACACGCAGCAGGGCAAAACACAACCTCTAGTGAACAGGCATGCCCCATTGAAGATCAGCTATTGCACTTTGAAGAGAGAGAAAAAGAGAAATAAAAATACCATTTGTACAAATAAAAGGCACATTTTCATCAACAGAAATCTGGAAAGAAGCCATGTTCTTTTTGTGTCCCAGCGTGTTTGGTTGTATAATTTCTTTATGCCACACAGCTAATCGTCATGTTATCAGAGAGATTCAAGTATGGAGTTGTTCCTGCTGTATATGCTTTGTTCAAAACTTTGCACATTTTGCCAAGTTGATTCTACAAATTTGCTCTTTAGAAATAAAGACAGTTCTCCAAATAATTCTTTACATTAGCATAGTGCTTTCTTTTTTTCCCCTTTTTTAAATTTAGCGCATTATTCCTTCTCCCAAGATATTAGATTTGATGAAATTATGTCACCAAGAATTGGACAAAGTAAAAGTTAATGGCGGATAAGTGTAAAAAAAAAAAACTCAATTATTCTTTGTGTCCTTTTCTTCACACCTTTCTCTCAAAACTGCCTCTTCCCTTTTAAAGGGACACAAGGAATTAAGGAAAGTCTTATCGGCTTAAACCAAAATGGATCTGGTGCTGGATATTTTTTTTTTATAACAATCCCAATACTGCTCTTTGCTAAAATATGTGTTGTTGTGAGATGCATGTACTGTACACTCCCTCTTGCAGCAAAATACAGGCACGTTATATTACATTGCATCTGTCTTGTCAAACTCATTGAACACATGCTGATTTTGGTTCAACTGAAGTGGTCCAGTGCATATCAAATACAATGCCCCATTCATTTGGTATCCATCAGAGTATTGACAATAGTAAGGATGAGAGCATTTAAAAAGTCTTTTTTGCCAGAACTGCTGTGTACTATTTCTATAAGCCGTTTCAAAATTTTGATTCCCACTCTACAAAAACAGTCCGTATAACCTAAATACAGTAAACTGTTCTGAGGAACGATTGTGTACAGTGGACTGAAAAATGCAAATTAACGCTGACCTGGCAAGCAATAATGGTTGAAAACTTGCTTCTTAGAGTGGGATTTCTCCCCTGAACTGTAGTAGTTGAAGCAATACACAGCCAGCATCCTTTGCTACTTATAAGTGATAACACAAGAGAATTCAAGTGAGTGTGACAAGGGGGGTAAACAAGCATTTCTGTGTTGACATCTTGTGGCAATAAAGTAGTCTTACCATAAGATATCCACACACATCAATAAGTGACGGTGATCTAATATTAAACATTCTGCAGTGAGTGCACACTGTGTGAACTCAAACATTCCTCTAATTCAGTAAAAAGTGTAAATTACGTCTCAACACATCGGTAGTTTGTCTTGGTACAACTGACACAGATGATCTAACTGATCTAACTTTCTGATTGTGCTATTCATTTGTGATCATTCAAAAATGATAACACTAACTTTTAAAAGTTCACAAATTAAGCTGAAAATGTTAATTAAGAATGTGAGAATATCCATTGCATGACTCAAGCCCCCAAAACTAATCATTGACTACACACCTAAAAGAAGAATCCAGAGAAAACCAATTCAGAAATAATCACTGGTTGAAAAGCATAAATATTTTTACAGTGTCAGCATACACAAGCACCTCTTTCAAATAAAGGGGTATCAAGGTCTACGAACAATGTCCACAAGAACAGTTGATTTTAAGTCATGCGACTGCAGTGACACAAGAAAATACTTCATAAAAAAAGTTTATCTTTAAAGCCATTGACAGCACTATGAAGGATGTCTGTTTGCACCCCAACACTTTGTGACTACTGCAAAGCAAAACACATTCAGTTCTAATCCCCAATAAAAGCAGATTTCATATAGTGACTAATTGAGTGAGCTGTCACGCTATTGGTGAGATTAAAGGACATTTTCCCTAAAGTAATTCATTATAAATAGCATTTGTTGTCCAAACTGTTTCTGTGTCCTCCACCTCTTAGCCAATGGTTCCTGTAGAAATGTGGTTGTGCTTGACAGACAAAACTAAAATTTCAGGTTTTTATTCTAAAATACTCTTGTTAACACCTCTTTGAGGTTTGATTTGCACTTCATCTAAACTAAACTACAATTGTCTTTTTTTTTTATCTTTTAAAACACCAAATCAAGATATTATGTCCAAATGCACCTATGTCTTCTCAAAAATATAGCATTTCAGTCATCACAACAAAATAATAACAGTTCTATAAATTATTTTTCATCTTAAACAAATCTTGCGTCTTTCCAGTGCCTCCGGTAAAGTAACCACGGGCCAATTTCCCCAAAACACTGTCACGCATGGAGCCTTTAAGCATCTACTCTTCGTGTTTCATCTTCAAGTTTCAGGATGGTAGGAGAGACTGTCCAGAGCTTCCTATTTCCCATCAGGCATTGCAAGCATCACTGTTTCCTTCCAACGGGCTGTAGGAGACACAGTTCACTCCCAGCTGACACAATCGGCAGATTGTTGTCACGGTGATGGCCAATTAGATGGCTTATGCTGTCAAATACATGATCTTTTGTCCGTACCTGTGAAAAGAGAAAGATATGTTAAATGTCTGTTAACATATCTTTTAGCTTTAATTCATTTTCTCGCACAATCAAACTTCTTGAATTGTATGCATTCTCACACACTGACACCTTCACAAATCATTCACTTCTATTAGCAGTATCTCCCTGAAATACACACTCTACATGTCCTTTAACCCCGTCTTACCGTGCCCTCAGGGTCCACCAGCAGTAGGTGTTTGGCAAGTCCATTGTGCATGCCCGTCAGTACGTAGGACCCTGGGTTGGTAGTGCTCTTACGAACCAGGAAGTCCCCATCGTCTTTTAGCAGTTTTTCAGCGTCACGGCGGCTCATTTTGCCATGGTACCATGTCTGGCCCTCCAGCTCCTCCTGTGCCCGGAAGGCTAGCGAGCGCACAAGAAGAGGGCTCGAGTTGTCCACGGATGCTGCCTTGTGAAGTCCAGAAACCTGGGACTGGGCTTGCCCTTGGGACGCCGGGTGGGACTGCGACTGAATGGCATCCTCAAAGGGCTCTGGTACAGGTGAGGGCAGTGCCAAAATGATGAATTAAGAGAGGAAAGATGTAAACAATGCAGGTTTTAATGTAGGTTCAAAACGTAGGCTTTGCAAATACTTTATGAAAAAGGAGGTGCACTCCACACATTTGTCAGACCTCAAGGATACACACAGAGTGTTCTGGGGAGCAACGCTGCATGCAAGGCACCTTGAACTTTCAGGAAAACTGTCACTTCCACAGAAACAGGGAATCTGGTGGCCTCATGTTGCACCAGTAAGCACAAACCTAAATCTAATAATGCCACTTGTAAATGACCCTGATCCTCTGCCTATCCTATCAAATTAAACCACTCCTTTGGAATAGAGTTTAAAATAATTCTAATAATGTTATGTCCAACACAAACATCTTGTTTCAACAGGAAATACATCACATTAAAAATGTCAAGATCCTGTTTTGTCATTCACTACTGTTTAAGCTAAATGGGATAAAGCAGAGCTTATGGACACCTTTTACATTCATATGAGATGTTTGACTGTGATCCTCTGTGAGCTCCGGATTAATTCATGTTAATTTGTGTGAAAAATCAGGATATCTATATCAGATACTTCTGCATTCTGGCAATTTAGAGTTACCAAAGCATGTATTTGTATCATGACAGGATATGGACAGAGGTAGACCATACAAACTTTACTCATAAAGGACAAGAGCAATGTTTAAAACCCAGAACCTTCTTGATATTTGACAACATAACCACTAAGCTTATTTCAATAGTCTCTTACTTATTTAATTTTGTATATATTCATATTCTGTTATGCTGATGATACACAAAACAGTATTTCTAAAAATACTATAAAATGATTTTTGCTACTCTTAAACAATAAATATAATCCACACAATAGGATGAAGGTTGGGGATTATTTTTCTGCTGAGCTAATGGTGCTCACTTTTATGACTGACTAGTAATGGTCAATAAAATGTTCACTACTATCATATAATACTGCACTTAATTACTTATTTAATAACTATCAGAATCCAGTAACTGAATTGTTCCACATTGTATTGTACATTAATCTGAATCCAATTTGATTGAATTATGACTTTCTGTCATGCAAGTGCTGGAGTTTTTTGGCAGAGGAACAAAGTAAAAAGTGAATGTTAACAGTTAAAGAAATGCAATAGGTGGACAATTACACCTGAACTTTGATTTCATGTAAGAACAGTTCACTCCAATAATCGTATAGTTCACTGCTCACATGTAATTTGCTTCATGGATTCTTCATACATAGTTACACACATCTTTATTTAACAGATCTTTCCATGTATAATAATAGCAAGGCTAAGGTTGACTTCGAAAGGAAGAAATAATAAAGCTGTACACTGACATTACAACTGTCCTCCTATTGTCTTTATACTGATGGGGTATTATTATAATGCCATACTAAAGGACTGAGGAACAAAAGCTAGGAAACCTCTATAATTAAGAACTCTGATTAGAAAATCATCTTACGAAGTAATTCTGAATGCAAGATCCTGTTCAGATACTTTGTAGTGGTTCAACAGGTGAGTCTTAACGAGTACCTACAAATCCACTATTCAGTTCATGTGACCAACAAAAACTCAAACTTCACAACACACCAGCCAACACTTACTCATGTCAAACAGGTCCTTCTGTGGGCTCTCTTTGGCTGCAGCCGCCATGCCCTTTGTCACATTTTCCGCCTCTGCCTGGAGTGCTGCAAGCACCTGGGCGTCAATCTGCTGAGTGTTCACATACGCTGGCATCTCTCCTGTTTTCGTTGCCTGACCTTTACTCTCGGGCAGACTGCATATATCAAACGATCCTACAGTAGACATTTGGAGAAACAACCACAGCCACAGTATTTAATTGATTGAATAAATAAAATGAGGCTTGTGTACTTAGATAGTGGGAAGCATGGATTTGTTCTTACCCTGTTGTATGAATATGGGCTTTCTTTCTTCTCCCCAGTTTTCTCCACAGTGCCGCCCTTGGTAATACGTCTGATCTACTGAACCTGGGCCCATCTGATGACATACGGTTATCAGTTAAGATACATTACTCAAATGGAGATCCCGAGTTGACATTTAAAAAAGATTTGGCATTTTGCTATATCACGTGATAACACAAGATTTTCTGTTCAAGTTCCTGAGATGAATCTATGAGTTGTACCTGGCATCCATCTGCTGCTGCATTCTGATTGGTCAGCCGGGTGTCGATGAAGCCTCCGGGTGGTGGCATCTTGCCAGGGATGTTGTTATAGTAAGGATGTTCTGCTGACTCCTCCTCTTCCTCTGTCCATGGTAACTCCTCCATGTTTAATACCCTGTGGAAAAACATGGTTTGATCATGAAGCCCAACGCTGTCTGTGCGTGTACACTTGTGTATGTGAATATGCACTTTTGCGAGTGTATCATCAACGCCTCACCTGTCATGTGTGGAGGACAGTTTGCTTGAGGGACACTGCAGGTACTGCTGGAAGCGAAGGTCAAAGGCCTGGCCGATGGTGCTGATGACGTCCTGGGCCAGCCCGTCAGAGCATTCCAGGATGTGACATGCTGACGAGGGTCAGAGCAAAACATTGTAATAAGCATGTTGCATGTGGGATATGAGACACTCTATAATGAATTAAAAGAACACCTACCTCTTCTGTTAACAGGATCCTTTGCTACATAGGCAACGTAATCTGTTGTGTCCTAAAAAACAAAACAAAAGACACATTACAACAGTTGTAGGAATCTACAACTATAAAAAACACAATACCCTCATACCACAACCTTGATTTTCTGGTTAAGTCACTTTTTCAGTACCAATGATGGAAAGGTTTAAACTTTCCAAACATGGAATAACTAATTCACAATGTAACACATTCTGGATATTTGGTTATTAACCTCGTTGCCATGTTTAAAAAGGGATAAACATCAGGCCATTGAGTTACTTACAGGGTCTCCACCTGATGCAAAGGAGATGGATTGCATGTGATGGTTGGCTATGATCTGTCAAGAGTAAAATTATACAGTAAATAAGAGTTAGCCAGTGCATCTTTATACATACAGATAGATAAAAACGCACATGCATTAATTCTACACACATATACTGTAAAATGTATATCATAATTTCTTTAATTTCCTTCCTTTGCCCTTTTATTCAACAACAGAGGACTGTCTGCTATCTAACTATGAGGCAGCCATATTGGAAGTATTTATTTAGCTTTAAAGGAATAGTTCGACATTCTGAGAAATACACTTTCACTGACTGGACAGTAGGAACTTTAGGAACTTCATGTTCAACATATTTCCATTATAATTTGCTTCATGAATCCAGCCAGCTTCCTACAAGAGTTGGTTTAATTTCACCTTTCTTGAGCTGCAAATCAGAGATTGGTACCAGAAAGAAAAGAGGTTGGGTGAGTTGGTGTTTTGTCAACAGCTACTCTGAAGCATTCTCTGCATTATCACCAAAGGAACGGGCACTCAAGACATCAGAAATAGTATTCTGTCTTGTTTGAGTGACATTGTATAATAGTTGATTTACTCTTTACTTTGGCACCATCTGCTGGCAGTACCAAGAAGAACACTGTGGTAGACAGCAAAGCACAGTGCAACCACTGACCACCCATGCCACAAAAAAAAACTGACTAAATATAGTGATGTGCACATAGAAAGTCAAGTTGCCAACCTCCTCTGGTAATTCTAGCAACATCTGGAGAGATCATGTGCTCTTGCTTGTCTTCCTCTTTTAACTAACCTCATTAAACAAACATCCATAACTCTTTAAAAATATTTTTAGCAAGCGCTATGAATAAGTTTTCCTTTATTGCTGCTAAATTTGGAAACGAACATCCTCTGATCACTTTTTTTTTACTTTGTCTGCCGTTGAGATGTATTCTTAATCTTGACGACGGGGGTGCATTCATTTTTATCACATGTATGTGGCTCACATAATCCTATAATTGTTTACAAAGGTTGCAAAGGTTGCACACTGACCTGTTTGCCGTCGGGGGTCATCAGGTTGAGGCTACTGGTGGAGATATTTAGGTTGATGGACATGCCAGCAAACTGCAGGTTGCTCTTCCCCAGGATACTGGACAGAGCTTTGGACGGTGGCTGAGGATCAGAGGACACAGACAGACACAAATAAAACAAATTACAGCAACCAATTATACAGTATATCTTAAAGCAATAATTTGACATTTTTTTTGGAAAAAACATTTTTGTTTTTTTGGAACAGCTAGCCTGCCTCTGTCCAAAGGTAACAAAATCCACCTACCAGCACCTCTAAAAGTCACTATTGGATACTCTATGTCTGCAACTATTGCTTATTCACTGTGACTTAAAAAAAAAATTTACATTACACAAATTTGTACACCTTTTGCACAAATTAAACAAATGAGAAATAATGTGTTAATAGGTAAGCAGATTTTATTATATTTGGACAGAGCCAGGCTAGTTGTTCCTCCTGTTTCCAGTCTTTATGCTAAGCTAAGCTAACCGGCTGCATGCTGTAGCCTCATATTTATTTTCTCGGGGAATAAGTCATAAAAATGTACAACTATTCCTTTAGGGAGTATCCAATAAAGTGTAATTTTACCACTAGGAAATTAATACAGAGGAAACATTATTGTTCAATATTTGTATCGATTACAGATGCAAATTTCATCTAATAATGGGGGTGGGGGTGAAGTGTTGGATACTTAAGATACTGTTGTGAGAGGTGATTCTGATGAGGAGAGAGGAGGCTAAGAGGCCAGATAAAATTAGCCAAACCCATTCAAAATTCCCAGTATGAGGCTGATGTCACCATAGTGCATTTGTCACACAGCCAAAATAACATTATCTTATATCTTACATCTAGTCTGAAAGAGAAACTAGTCGGCACTGATTTTGTGTTATATACTCTTCCCTGACATTTGAACAAGCTCTAGAGAGCAGAGTAATGCTTCATTTCACACCCCACATTCAGACACAGTCTCCTCACACACTATGGACACACACCACGTACACGCACGCACGCACACACACACACAGAAGACAGACACGAGCACACACGAGCAAACACGCACACACACACACACACACACACACACACACACACACACACACACACACACACACACACACACACACACACACACACACACACACACACTAGCTCAGCCTCCTGATCACAGATATTGTGCACTACATGAGTCACTAAGCACTGTGCACGGTGTGCAATGCATCGTGGGCTGGAGCTACGCCCACGCACATACAGTCCCATACCTCTTCATCTCTCTTCTCTCCTCAGCCTCTCTCCTCTCTAAGTACAATCTCTCTCTCTCATCATTTCTTCCTCTCTCTATCTGTCTCCGTTTTCCATCTCTTTTTACATGAAGGAAGGAAGAGAGAGAAAGAACTTACAGAGGCGATGCTATATATAGAATGTGGAAGGGTAAATGAATATCTAATGCTGTTTCCTCTTTTTCTCTCTACTGTACCTTTCACTAACAATCATTTTTCTCAGCTCTCTCAGTGTGGGCATCACTTCCTCCGTGATCACTCCATCTCCCTCCCTCCTCCTTCCCTCTCCATGTACCTTTCTCTTCCGCAGAGCTCCTTTGGTCCCTGGAACAGCCTCACACACCAGGCTGATGGCTTCCCTAGAGGGAGGGTGAGAAGACGATGAAGCCAAGATGGTGACCATAGACAACCACAGAATCACAGATATTTTGGCGTTAAGTCAGACTGTATTTACAGTTACTTGCCATGATTACGTACATTGCCAAGATAACAAAAATAATATTTTGTTATCTTGGAAGTAACAAGAGTGCAAAGCCATGCTCTGTGTGGCTTAATTTAGGCACAGCAGAACTTGGCTAAAATGCAAACAACCCCATGCTTACATGCTTTCAATGACCTGATGTTTATCAGCTATAACGTATATCATGTTCAGCATGCTAACATTAGATAATTAGCACTCAACACAAAGTACACCTGAGGCTGACGGGAATGAGTTTTGCAGGTAGAAACCAAAGAACTGAAAAGTTAGATGACACGTTAAGAGATGAGCAGTTATTACAATTCATCCTGAAAGGGAGATTTCATAGTTATCCATACAACAGTTGTTGTAAGATTTCACTTAAAATGCCAATGTCACCCTCATGGTTCCCAGACAAAGCCAAGTCAGGGGTTCACCAAAGTCAGAAGGATTCAGCACCTGGGGACCATGAACATATACACCGAATCTCATGGTAATCCATCCAGTAGTTGAGCTAGTTCATTTTGGACAAAAGTGGTGGATTGGTAGATCCACACCTTTAGCTTGACTAAACATTTCCAACATTTAGGCTATTCCTTAATCAGTTATGAGAATTATTTCTACATGAGAAATCTCTATATTTTGAAGATTTTGGGTCCTCTTTCTCTCATATTTATAACATTTAAATTGTGATAACTGTACTCACTTGTACATGGGATGATGTTGTGAGGCAAACTGTCAGGCAGATTTTATTTTAAGGCACATGAGCTGGTAAATGTTTTAATTTTAGTGCTTTGTAATCGTAATGGTTCAATTCTTACTGATTCAATTGTTTCCCATCAATTACTCATTATTACGGATAAAAATGTTTAAATCTTCTGTTCACCTTTGCAGTCTAATCTGAGTTATTGGACTATTCAGGAAACCTTGGGAAATGAAATATTGACTAGATATACAGTAAGTGCAAGTTAATATTTTTCAGACCTGGCATGTGAAACTCTTGTTCTTATTTTAATTTACTATATTTCTTGTTTTCTACTATTTAATATTCTTGTTTTAATTACAAATCTTGTAATTTCATTGTCTTGAAAATAATAAAAGACAAAAAAGTAAATAAATACACTCAAAGAAAAAACAAAAAGACTGTATTTACAGTATGCCTGAACTCTACAGGTTGTTACACATAAAATGAAATCACCTTGGCCACAAGAGACATGAGTCAAGATTCAATATGCAGTGTAGAGTGGTTTATATGGTGCCATAGGGAATATTGCAAACGCACTGCACCTCTTGAAACCTCGCAACTGTATCTGTTATACAGTGCTACGCATCACAGACTGAAATCTAAAACTGTCTTTAAGATGGGAAATGAACCGTTTTACCTGCACCGGCCATCACCGTGCTTAATTTTTATGTAAAAGACAACAATGTGTGGTTTGAATAGTGGCTAAAGATAGAGCTTCTTTAATAAAGAAAAGTCAAATTCTAGTGAATATTCCAACGTGAATATTGGTTTCACATTAACGTTAATTTCTGTATCTACCTGGATAAATCCCACACAGCAGTAGGTTCTTTTAGAAAAGGATACATCTAATAATAGCAACAGAATGAGATATAAAGCTTTATCTCTCTATTTGTCCATCTCTTTCTTTATTAGAGGGAAACAGAAACACACATACACACATTGAGAGAGCCTACCACTGTGTGGCCCTGTAAGCTAACGTTAGTCTGGACTGACTTCAGGAAGTCAAGCATAAAAGTGGACATGACACAAACCGATTCACTGTTGGCCTTTGCCTCACTGCACATTGGTCAATGATTTCAAAGATACACATGGAGTCAGAAAATTCCCTGCAAACAAATTGTGATAACAGGCAACCTAAATGCATTTTTAGAAGAGGTGATTTGATTTAGACACATTTGGTTACATCAAACATTTTCACTGACCAGTTTGAACTGATAATATAGTCCATAAAGTTTTACTAACAACAATGCAACAACTTTAAATTCATCCATTTCTGCTGTTGCTTTCTGTTCTGCAGTACATTTTCTGCTGTTCTTCTTATCGCTTTTCTGCCCCCAAATTTACTCTTACTCTTTTGCCTGGACCAGCTATAGAGTCACCATTGTCTTGTTCATTCAAGACATGGCAAACAGTTATATATTATCTCATAATAACAGTATAGTTTGGAATAATAGTTTGGAATTTGGTCTATAAGAAGATCTTATAAACATAAAATAATGCTGATTTGGACATTCAGCTTAAATGTGTGCTATTCGAATCAATTTAGAAAATGCTGCATGAGTATATTTGGGGTAGTATTTTTCAACCTGGTATAAACAGTTCTTTCTGGATTTAACTGGCATGAATACATAAAAGACTATTTAATTCACAACAAAGTTGAGGCTTGTGTAATATAACTTTTGATGGAAAGATAGCTAAACTGCAGATCTTCATTAGTGTTACAATTTAAAGTAGAAAGGGTATGACAAAATAGATATGAAACTGGTTTCAGGCTGACCTTTAACTTCTCTAGTTACCATGGCTCTTTTTTTTTTTAGCAATGATGGTGTTGTACTTGTAGTAAGAGGTATATTAACTTTTATACAAGAATACATTTAATTTCAACAAAATTTCAAATGAGATACAATAGTCAATGTGCTAATGATTGTTGTTTGGAAGTGTCAGTAGATAGTAACAAAATAAAATTGAAGTAAATAGCTAATTTAACCCATGCAAGTTTTTTTTTCTTTGAGGTTAAAGTGCTGTACACAATAAATGGTGTCGAAATGTTTGACAACTATATTGCTAAATCTTCTGAATTAGAATCAAAACATGCGCCATTAAGTAAGATATTTTTACATTTCAAATCTCACACATACTACTAAGGCTTTAAATCAGCAAATGGACCTTGGAGCTTTTTTGATTAATTTAAAGGGAAATCAAATGAATCCTGAAAAATCTGAAAAATAAGTGCAAACATACCTTGTAATTTGTGATCTTGTGGTGAAATCCAGAGATCTCATTGACCGAAGGACTTCTATACAGCCCAGATACTGGAAAGCAAAAACATAAAATACACCTTCATTCAGATTTTCACCACTAGCACATCATCACGTACAGAAAACACACCTGATTTGTTGGATTGGACGTTAACATCCAACTTGACGCAGTTGTTCAAAGTTGTGTACAATTATGATCTCGAAGGTAGCTGGTCTTAAAGTTAATGCAGTTATCTCAATGTGTTGATATATTAAATGTATGTTCTTACACACTTGGGTTCAAGATCTGGATCACTGATCATGTGTATTGGAAATTAGAATAAATTGCCTATAGGTACGCTATAACAGTAAATAATAGTAGCCAACTTACATTACAGACTTGAAAAATTTTGTTTTTTCTTGAAAAAATACATCTCTTATCAGGCACTTAATCACTATGCAAACATATAGGTGACACAACCACCTCCATACTGTATGTCGGAGACAATACCATATAGATTTCTTGTCTCTCCCTTTTAACTGTAACTTCCAGTGAAATCTTGTAGCCCTTTCCATTTGGTTTAATCTTAAAGATTGTATGGTGCTTCTAATCTTTCACAATGCGGCCGTAGATATATTTATCTAAAAAAAATCTCTACACAATCTAGTTTCATAGACAAATCTAGTTGTATTAAAATACAAAAAATGCAGCAATAAAATGTATTGTATTTTAAAATCATCAATAAATTGCCTAAAGTGCTTTTAACTTTGTAATACTGGTTGAGCCCCCAGTTGAGAGTTGGAGCCTGAAAACTGGTCTGGCACCAGGGGTTAGGATCAATTTAACTTGCCATTTAGCAGGTTAGTGTCAGGACTTCAGTTGCCATAGTAACAGACACATTTTCAGCAATTCTGTTTTTTGAAACAAAAGCTTTCTTTGTTTTAAGACTCAAAAAATCTCTGATTTAAAGGTACCCTGTGGAGTTTTTGACCACTACTAGCGCTATGGAGCAGTGTTAACGTGTGTATGTGTTTATTTATTATTCACAATACTTCACAGACTGACCAAGATACTTATGCCAAGAAAAGACAGTGAAGAAGAAGGCTGCTACCTAGCAAACATGGATGTAAACAATGCCGGATTGAAATGAAATAGAGACTTTGCAAATGTCCTATGAGGAAAGAAATTCATGAATAGTTTGTTTTTATTGTTATGCATCAAGAACACATACAGTGCATTTGTTTGTTTACAATAAAAACTCCACAGGGTAACTTTAAGTTGCTTTTTGCAATACCCAATACTCTGAGTACAAATTCTTTTAATACGCATTACTGATCTTACAAATGGATATGTAAGGGATGTGACTGAATATTCAGTTGGTAATATAAACCCACCTTCATCTGCATGTGCAATAAGATATAAAGAATGTACTAAGACATAAATCTGTATTGCATCAGCAAATGTGTGTTCATAAACTTGCTGGTATCACAGTTTTCTACTTTCTAGTTGAAAATAGAAAAAATCTAGCAGGAGTCTGACACAAAGTTGATGCAAAGTTGGAATAAAGCATCAAGTCAGAGCTTGTTCAAAGGGATTTGGAAAGTGCATCAGTGTGTTACTATGCCACATAAGGTGACTGTAGTCCTATCCCATAAAACCATCTTCAGCACCAGCCACCTACTCACATTACAACACCTCTTCTGATTAATGTTGCACAGACTGGGAACATTTTGTGCTGACGAGTTCCTATTGTTATCAGAATCACATTCATAATCTGGCTGTAAACAAAACAGACATCCAGACACACTAGCGTTTCTATTTCCACTCCTTTTCAGAGAGAAGTGAGTTATTAGAATCATAACTTTCATATTATGAGGCCCCTTCTCTCCAGTGAGCGTTTTGCAAGTACCAGCAAACAAATACCATTTTGTCAACATGACGTTTGCACATTTTTAATGTTATCTATTTTAAGAACCGTGAGTTTGAAGTGCACAATTCAGCAGGGCCAAAAATATATTAAACAGTTCTAAAATTGGTATGGACCTATTCTGAGCACAACATGAAGGCATTTTTCTCTCATGCTGTACAACAAACAAGTACATGGTTCACACAGGAAAACTGAACTTCAAATTAATTATGAAAATCAATGGGAGGCCAGCTCTGAAGTGCCCATAAATGATCCCAGTGAACAACACAACTTCTGAGTGATGCACTAACAAAACCATACAGACCTAAATGTGTATTACACAGTACTGGCTTTATAACAGGCACATACCTTCTGAAACATTAAGTCATCTCACACTGGCTATAGCTGTTGCTTACTGGAGTTTAGATGTGCTTATAAATGTAAACATTTAGTTTATTTCCATATATAAAAAGTGACTTTCATATCATTTAGTTGCACTCAGGTTAAAGATGTCACAAAACCTGTTGTACCACAATTATGTTGTGCAGTTCTGTTCAATGATATGTCAGGTCAAGAGGATAAAGCACTTGTTTTATCAAGAGGCTAAATAAAATAGGTTGATGAAATGAGTATTAATAAATGTTGAATGAATAGAAAAATTTGCACCACACACGGATGATGCACAGGCATGGATTATAAGATGAGCAGTAAAGAATTACAATACACTAACCAATGCTAAAAGAATGGTGATTGCTTATAAAAAGGGTTGCCAAATTTGCAGTTCCCTAAGCTTTACGGAGCTTTATTGTTGAGGTTTTTAGCTCATGTAGCTATTTGTTGTGGGGCAAAATTTAGACTGAACGTGTGTTTTGTTTTTGCATAAACACATAGCTACCATGGGCTAAAAGTGTGAGTGTAAACAGTGCCACTGTCAATCAATGTCCCTTAGAGTAATGGTGCATGATGTGCGCAGAGTGACCACATGATGCTAATTAAAAGTGCTGTGAGCATAACACCACGTTGAACTCAATACACACAGGACTCAAACCACAGGAAAAGCAGAGGGTGGGGGAGCACAGACCGGACCCATTTCCCCTCTCACAGTGTGGCAGCAGCATTGACTGGACAAATAAGCGCTCTTGTCCTTAATGCAGTTAATGGAATGTCACAGATACAGTAGGCTTTGTTCAGGCAAGTTGTAGTAGGTGTCATATGATGGCAATCACACTATGTAACTTGATTTGGAATATAACACATGTCACCACGCAATGATGCTCAGTATGCTCTTTCAGCCACCCAAAAACTAAATGTTGCTTTTTGTTTAATGTGCTGCTTAAATAAAAGAAACGCTGAGGCAAATGCACACTTAACTGCTACATTACGGTATCAGTGAAAATGGTTTGTTCCATTTTTTTTTTCATTCACTTTACACCTTGAAGAGCCAGGGCTCAGCATCATCACTCCTCATACTAGTGACTCATTGCCGGCATGATGACATTCAAAGCTCTCGCAGTTGTGCGCCAACTTGTGCTCCTTTAAGTGATGTATGATGGCTGAACGACATTAACATGAGATATGGATGTGATGAGACAAACATGCGCTGCGTGTCTTTTTTTTTCCTATTCCACCATTTCACTATCTGCGAGCTAAAACAGCTGTACAGCTCATAGAGATGCACAATGTACAGAAATAACACATCACCATGGTTACAAAAGCATAACGCTGCGGCTCCACATACACAAAGACAGAAATGTACCATAAACTGAAATGTTTACAGCATGCTCAAAATGCTATATCAATGCTATTTCTGTTTTCCAATCACAGATTTTTCTCTGCTTTTCGCCAATGTTGACCTTCTCTATTTCCTGAATTATTCAATATCTATTTTCTGGTCGCTGCTCTTTCACTCAGCCTTCTGCTCTAGCCACCCTACATACACCTACTCAAGGGCATGTTGTGATGTGCCAATAAAACTACATTATCTACCCTTGCAGGTAGCTAAGCTGGAGTCATTGAAAGAAAAGAGAGAATGGGTGAAGAATGGAAAAGAGGCAGAGGACAAAAATGGAGACAGCATGAGACAGAGGGACCACCAACCTTCACAATGTATGTCACTCCTGGACCAGAGATCTTCTCGCTCGAGTGTAGCCATCCTCTGGAGGGTTTGTTCACCAGTCCACCACCTCCACCTGGATTCCAGTCCTCTCTGCCAGGCTGGAGCTCGTCCAGCCTGCTCTTCTTGCTCATGCTGACGGCTGGCTCCAGCTGTGAGCAGGGGGTTGAATGGGAGGCCGAGCTGCACAGAGAGCCGCCCACACCAGAGGCTGTCGCTGCTGTAGTCGCCACACCGGGGCTCGGGCCACTGGAGCTGCCTGAGCCCGATCCCCCACCCACCTGCAGCTTAGACACAGCCAGGTCCTTGACAGCTGAGGGCAGACCCTTGATGCCCAGCAAGCTGCCTGAGTTACTGAATTTCAGGCTGGACACCTTGTTGATGAGTGTACAGAGGGTGGTGCCTCCATCTTCCAGGTGGTCAGAGCCGTGGCTGGTGGGGGTGCTGGAAGCAGTAGTGGTGGAGGAGGACTGGACCTCAGTCGGGGGTGTGTAAGATGTCTCGGCTGCAGACTGGGGGGTGGCCGAGACCTTGGGGTTCATGGACAGGCCGTGGAGAAGCTCATCGACGGATGTTACTGACTCATTCCTGAAGCGGTTGTATTTGGTACGGTGAAGCATACCCTTCTCTCTCTTGCTCTCTCCCCTCTCTCCACCAACCAACACGCACAGCCTGCCTCTTTCACAAGTGTGCTGGCAGACGTGGCTGAGCCGTGCTGATTACCCTCTCCTGTAACATAGCAGCAGCGGTACAGGCAGCAAACGCCTTTTAGCAATCACAGGCCACCTGACTGTAATTTTCTCTATTGAGGTTACAGTGGTGGATGTGTTGAGCTGCTGCTGCTGCTGCTGCTGCTGCTGTCACCAAAGTCCAATCTGCTCTCAATGAAATCCAGAGCTGCAATCCAATCCGTCAGAGAGAAATACACAGACACAATCCATGGAAACACAGCATTGAGGCAGAGGAAGCAGAGGATGGAGAGAAAAAGGTCCCTAAAAGGCTGCCAGTGTTGTGGTGCAGCTTGTTTGGGTTCCAGCGGTGATGCTGCTGCTGCTGCTGATTTCTGGCGTCAAAAATCCAAAAAGTAAGAGAACAGAGAAAGGTCTATGTTGTCGATGATCACGGATACTGCGAGGGAAGAGCAAATACTCTCTACTGACTGCTGCCTGCCTGCCTGCCTGCCTGCCTGCCTGCCTGCCTGCCTGCCTGCCGGCTCAGAGCTAAAGCATGACTCACTGATCTGAGAAAACCTTCTCAACAAAAGGCTTGCTGAACACTGCAAATCACTTCCTGTCGGAGGGAGAAAAAAACCTCCCACTTACAGCACACTAGAACCCATCAATTTTTAAATTCCCTAGTCTGATATTTATTTCCTGTAATTCTTTCCGTCGTATTTGTTTTTCTGAGAAAAGGAAATGAGGAACGAGCGGAAGTTTGATTATTTAACTTAGCAACATAATTATTCATAATAATTTGCTTGAATTCCTATAATACTCAATATCTTACAAAATGGATGAACCGGTAAAAATTGCAATAAAAGTTTGACACGGACAACAAACTAATCACAGAGACAATAATGAAATAAGTAATGGGAACTAGCCTACACCTAATTTACAGATACAATTGTCTGCCAAAATAAAGACATCTTTGATTCAAGAATAAAATCTCTATTCAAACATTTCATTAAGATGTCCTTTTCCTTATAGGATGCAAAATAAACCTCTATAAATCACTGAAAGCAAAAACACAGGAAAATTTTGACATGACTGGAAATACGCAACATCATTAATATATTGTCCATGTTAATTTATAATAGCTGCAGAGTATGGGCAGACATCACTCCTGGTTCTCAGTTATGTACTTTCAAAAACCTATGACTAAATAATACACTTGTTGTTTCTGCACAAAATGTTTATAATCAGGCATTAAAGCAAAACTGAATAAAGCTATTTATTTCCATAAAATTGTTTTGAGACCATTTGTCTAATGTGTAGCACTAATTCTCCATTTGTATCCTGCAACAAAGGAATAAAACATTCAGTTGACAACTAGGAAGCAGATATAATCTAACAGCTAGTCTAAAATACACAGCAATTGGTCCAGGTTGAACTACATGAATGATATTCAAAAAAACACAACATGAATGACATGTTTCTCAGGCAGATGGGTCAATGAAACAACCAAAAGGATAACAGAAAAGGCCAATGAGTCTCCTTAAAACCAGCAGCAAAGAAGCATCTTTGTCTCCCCGGTAGCGGAAAGCACACAGCCAGACACCATTCATGTAAAATGTCCTCAGGAGCATCTAGCAAAGCCGAAAGACTGACACTCATTCATAAGCAGCTTCCGCTCTCACTCTGCTGCAGATTTCGCACTGCAGTCCCTCCCAACATCTCTCTTTCCTGCCTGGCAAACATAGAAAAAAAAAAAAGACAGCACGTCTGCCTTCTCTCCTCAGAAAAAAAGGCAAACACAAAAGCAGGGAAGAAAAGGCAGGCCCTCGCAAATCAAAAAAAGGAGGCAAAAAGACAAAGGAGGATAAGAGAAGAGGACAAAAAAGCATGCAATATTTAGTCTTTTATGTGAATGAAATAGCAGGCTGGCATACCAATGTTTCTGTGAATGGAAGCAAGGCCTTTCTGCCTCTGCAAGGCAATCCCTTGGGATGGCATGGTCTTATCCAATGAGGAGCCAGCTGGATGACTCATTCAGGGGAGGCTTGCAGAATAGTGGAAGAGACCATTCCAGACGCAGGTGTACATTTTGTTTTCCCTTGACTGCCCTTTAAAAATAATGCGTACATCGTCGGATATGAGATTCTTGCATAATTTATTAAGAGAATTTTATGTTAACAGAATGAGAAACAAGAAAAAAATCCAAGCAAGAAATTAGCAAGTAAAAATGCCACCCCCATGATTTTGATTGTCACCATTATCATTTTTTTTTCTTTTTTCCCACATTCATGTGAACAGTTACCACCTACACATTTAATTAGTGACTTACTGTTTATATGTATGAGGGTAGATAGTACAAATGCACCAGAACAACAAATGTATTTTGGGTTGACAGATATAATTAGATGTATATTTGGACAACTTGAAAATACATAATCAGCATCCTGTATAAATGTAATAAATTGTAATGTGAACTTAACTTAGCAATTTTATTTTTAAATTGGCAAACAACAACATCAATGAAAATTAAAAATGCAAACTGGGCTTTTTCATTTGAATCTGACATCAGTATTTTAGCTATATTACATTATTAATATGAAATATAAACAAAATGGAAATTTTGCAGTTTGGTGGTTTTAGTTGAATGATGCCAGCATTTTACGAGGCTTGTTTTGTATAATCTGTCAAAGTCACAGGACAAAAAATCTACATCTTGTAAACCCCTCCTCCAAAACAATGTGTGTCCAATCATGGCTTAGCAACCCACCGTACATAGACATGGCAGGTCTGTCAAGTTTCGGCTTTCTCCCATGGATGTATTAAAAGAGCTGAATAAAGGCCATTAAGTTTTGCTGACAATTTGTCCCTGTGGCCAACTGCAAGTACTGCAAAAAAAAAATAATCCCCTGCAGCCCAAAAAGCATTTTCCCCATAGAGGAGAATTATAACAGAACTGTTGATATGTCCATCTGAAAACAAGGTCAATTATTATTATTTATATAATATATTTTTTTAAAACATTAAGTATTCATGTTTGAGTTTAGAAAAGCTATTTTTTGTGTGATGCCGAAGCAAACACAGAACCTAGTCCATCCATGATGAATGACATGATTGATATGGTTCTCCACATATTGAAGCAGTGTGCATGGGGTTGTTATAAAGGCTATACCAAAACTGGGGAGGATGGTGTCTTGTTTTCTTTTTCTTTTTTTTGCTTTTCTAAAACCAAAAGCACAACAGCAATGTAAGGCATGGATTTTGTGGGGCAACAGACTGTGTTATAAAAGCCTTAAGTAGAACGTTCACTACCTGCTACTATATCACAATTTAACATATGTAGGACCGTCCTGCACTTTAGTGGATTTGGGGAGGTCTACACAACAGCAACCTTAGCATGTTAGCATTGTCACTGTGAGCATGTTAGCATGTTAATGTTAGCATTGAGCCCTTTAATCTGACAGCCACTACTGTTATTCACATAAATAATATCTAACATGCAATCATTTTCTGAGGCTATTGCATTGTCTAAATGTGGAAGTGAGAGAGTGCACCCACCGTTTCCCTGCCCCTGTGGAGAGAAACACAAGGGTGTCGAGTTGAAAAGAAAAGGCGGGAATATCTGGAGAGGCTGACAAACCCAGTCATCCCTCAGCAGGAGTTGGTAGTGCAGCAGGTTGCATAGGCCACATGGTGGAGCTTCCTGTAGTGAATGATGGGATCCATCTGTGGACAGTTCAGAGAGCGTCTATAACAAATCATAAATAAGATGGCACAAACATAAAGGACAAATTATCCTGGGGTCCTCTTTTCCAATGTTGTAAAGTCTTAACGCGCAGGTAAGTGACAGGTAGAGCTTTCAAAATAAGAGTGCTCTGAAAACATAAACAGAAATGTCTCTTCTGATAATTAACTGAGAACATACACAAAATATACATATAAGTCATCCAGATAATCAACCAAATTTCATAGCATTTAATAGATTTATAACAACAACTAACATAATGTTCCACTGCAATTCAATATCAGTTTACTATCTCATTTTTAAGACATACATTAAGAGCAAATGAGAAAGGAGAGACAGAGGAAAAGAGCATCCGTTGGCAAAGGAAAGCAGCAGACACTTCTCCACTTGACTACTGTTGCCAGGTTACCAAAAACATTCAAAAAAGCAAGAGTTATTTTCAGACTAGCTAGAAGCAAAATAACCAATGTTACAGAAAGGGCAGACACTGGCAACTGGTAAAATGTGACAATTTTTTGTCATTATTTTAAAAAGAAAAATGCATTATACAGCAACAACACCAAAAGCTCCAGAGATCTGGCTCATGATTTAAGTTTGTAATGTTTGCACTCGCAATAACACTCACAATAAAACATGAACATACGGCACAGATAAGAGTAGACTATGAGCAACATTACATATATTTTAAACAAGCTTTCTTTAAGGCTACCTGATATTCATTCTCCAGAATCTGACCAAAGATTCCCAAGATTTAACTTCCACAAGTGCAGAAGCCTTTTTCCCCACCCAAAGTGTAGTCCTGGGAGAATGTTGGGCATTGGTCTTCAGTATGTCATTCCCATATAAGTGGTAGCCTATATATCATTGGGTTACTGCCATGAAAACTTAACCACCCCTAATTTAGGCTCAGTTTATTGTGGCTACATGTCTGCTTCCACAAGGATTTGTGTCAAAAATAAGTTTCTGGATTCCAAGTCGCTACAGTTGAAAATATTTTGAACAGAAACTGCTTCTTGGCCATCTGACGCTGTCGGTTGACATCGCCGCAAATCCAGAGAGCACAAGACAAATACAAAGTTGATCCCTGGAGTTTAAGGTACTCTTGAGGAATCTACACTTTACAGTATGAAAGCCTACTTTTGGTTCAAGCTTCAAGTATTGGACAAAAAAATGATGTACACGAAAAGTCAAGATATTGCCAAAGTGGCAATAATTCATCCTGAGGGGCAAGAATGTCTGGACCAAACCACTTTTCACTAAAAAACACAAATGTGAACCTCATGGTGGCGCTACTGGAAAAGTCAGTGGACATCCAAAATCCCCAGAGCACGGCCCCTCAGGGAAGCATAAACGTCTGTACAAAATTACATGACAATCAAGTCAACAGTTTTTCAGACATAGCTCGGACTAAAATGATTTGTTTGTAATGAGTTCAACATCTAAAAAAGTGCAAGCTCAGTTTTGATTAAATAATATTCGAGAAAGAAAAAACATTTAAGTCCATCCAGTTTGGCGCCACTCATTTGCTTCATATTTAACACAGATACTTTATGTTCATAAAACCATCTGCTTGTTTCACTGTGTCTTACATCCCAGTACAACTTTTGTTACAAGTTATGGAATAATGACAACAAATAACTGACCTATATATCGTCTATAAATCCCATGGACCAGACAAACCTTTGTTTGACGAAAATATAAATAAAAGTTACATAACATTTGATTACCATTATGTTCACACTGAATGGAATTTCTAGACTCATTTTCTTGGCCTGTCCATGACCTAATATAAGCATGTTTGTGACCATATTTCAATAGCATTATTGCCTATGGTTATACAAGTGTGTGTCATGTTTCCGAAAAGCTCAATGAAACAAAATCAAATGAATAGCGAAGAGGAACAATGTTGATAGCCTTCTTGAAGAGAGCAGAGTGATGTAAGAATTTCCTGTGTGGACAATAACATCCACGGCCTTGAGAGCTCATTTTCATAATTATGTCTGAGGTATCATTTGAGCTTTCTGTGAATGCTTCATTAAAAAAGCGGCAGAAGCAGTAGAAGCATCAAGAGGATCATAGGTGCATGACGACCATGCAAGCCATTATGTAAACCAACTAACCAAATAGTGATAGAAAATTCAACAAATTAGTAATTGTCATATTTAATTTAATCTATTTAGTGTATACTGCACACCATATGAGTTTATTGTGGCTATAATATTAACACAGTACAAGTGCACACAAGACCTGTGCAATACAGGAAGAAGTCTTTCCATGACGTCTATGTCTAAACTATACACTATAAACTATATGCTATTTGTTTCACTATTTTTTATGTGATAGAGATGTATAGAGGTATATCCATTAGTAATGTTTAAAAAATTACATATGTAGTGGGACCATGCAACCAGCCCGTATATACCATATTTTTGCATAGGCCTAGATATATATGTTTTTTCTGTAAAAAATATTGTATCTATGAAAAGACTTATTAGGCATTGACATGCAAAACATGTGGGAACGAATCAAGGTTAAATTAATCTTAATTTGGCTCTCCTAAATAGTATAAAACCATTTCGCACGAACTAATGTATGAGTGAATTGTTGTCATTTACTGCCAAATATGAATGAACGAATGAAATGAAATTAAAATATAGCCCCAAAGGTTTTGAACTTCTTTAATGCTAAGAGTTTGTTTTTTTGTACACATTGCATCTGTGCTCCTAAAAACTACAACCCCATGAAATACACATATTCTCCGTTTCAGATAAAAAGTTATGATAAAACAATTACCAAAAAAAAGTATTAAACACATGACAACTGAGACTGAAACATATTTTACAGACTAGACAAAAAAAGTGAGAGAGTGAAAAGCGATGTTAACATGAATGACTCACCTGTTATTTGATGACGGCATGGAACCTGGATGGCACGAGATTCTGGTCACATGACCTAAATCATCCAATCACAGCTCTTGTGACATTTAAAGCAATACGTTAAACGGCAGGTGTGACTTTGAAACGTTACCTTAGTTAGTTTGTTGTAAAATTTCTACAAACAAAGTTTATAGTATTCAAACAGGTACAACGACGACTCCTGCCATGTCTGTTATAACTTACTGCAAACATGGAAGTTTTAGTTTTAGCCATTCATTCTTCATGATTTTTCTTTTATAAAATATAAAAATGCTTATTGAAAACATGTTCGTTAAAGTATAAATCTCACTTTAGTTAAGAACTGATAATGTCTTTTTAGTTTTTTAAAGACCAGACATGTTCTGCCTCCTGTAATGGCTAAATATGTAAAATGTTCTGCATCTAATGTCTGAAGACGACAGGAGACACCTGGGAGTGTACAGTGTGTAATAACCAGTGATGCCTGCCTACTAAATGGGGTCATCCAGTTTATAAGGCCCCGTGGTATTAACAGTGACATGACTGCTCCTGCATATTTAGCTAACCCCTAAACGGGCCTGTAGTATTTGAATATTGTCACTTAACTTCTGCTGCTTGACTTTAGGGAGTAAGGATCATTAAAAACTTAACATTAGTCACAGAAGAGATGCAGCTTTTACAATTAATACTGGCCCAGAGGGCTATAAGTATTTCTTATCCCTTACCCCCTCCACTGAGGAAAACCAGATAACTACGTCATATGCCATCCAAGGAAAAAAAAACCAGCCTGCACTACACCACTGTTTAACCGTTATTGGGTCCCACAAAACCTTCAATGCTCACTTGCCTTGAAAATACACTACTTATTTGTTCTAAAACAACAAATTTGAAGTAGCAACCATGGTCCCCTTGAACAATTAAACAGGTGTGCACTCTCACACAGTGCAGCAATCGGTACATATCATTTGTCTGTCATTGTCCTTTGAGAGACGCACATCCTCGTATTCAGAAGACCTCTCTACCAATACACCATCCTACTGTCACTCATCTGGAAGATTCCTCCTGTGATTTTAGTATACAGTGAAGACTTTCTAGCTCCACTTAATTGGCTGCTGTGTATTAGCTGTACTTTCTCAGCCACAGAGCTCAGACTGTATAAAGATGTCTGTTGCTCATTGCAGCATATGGAATCCCACTGGCCCTGCTGTTGTGAAACACTGCATCTAAAGTGCCTGAATGATCAACTAGTTGAAACAATCCATAAGACCGTTTCTGTTACTGAACTATGTGTTAAAGGGAGCTGCATTAGTTCACAACACTGATTTCAATCATTCAGGAGGAAGATAAACTGTCTTGTGACTTTGTGCCAGGATCAGAAATTTGGGCTGAATGTTTGGATGATACAAAAGCAAATAGTTTAAATAGTAATGCTGCTTTTTTGTGATAACTAAAAATCTACATGGCTTTAGTTATTCTTTCTGTGTGCCTGGAAATTGTTGGTCCACTATCTGTGTTTTCTGTTGTTTTTCCTTTTTTTGCTTGCACTCCTTTATTTAGTCACAAGAGGGTGCCATGGCTCCAGTTGTGTAGAGGATGCTATGAAAAATAAAAAACCATTATGCAGCCATGGTGAGCTATGGAAACTTGGCCTTTAAACATCACATGTAGGGTTTTCCTCAGTTGCATTTGTTACACATTAAATGTCTAATACAGCTATCTAACCTCTAACTCTCTAACACTCTTCTATAAATGTGTGGGACATAATCGTCTCAGCATTGTATAAAGTAAATACATTTTCAATCAAGGATATTTTATATGCTCAGAAAATGACTGACTTCAGAGGAGAAAAAGCGCAGTGGAGGTTGGTTAATAATTCACATGGTAAAAAGTGTTCCTGCAGAAAAGGGCTGACTGGTCACCGTGGCACTCCTGCAGGTTTAATAACTCGTTTATAATTGGATCTATCAGCTGATATCAAAAGTGATAACCATGCTTATTCCAAACATGCCAAAATATGGGATGCATTGATGTTTTAAGACAATGTAAGCAACGGATAAAACAAACTCCATTTATTTCTGCATCAAGGGCAAATATGTATTCAGTTTCAATGAGAAAAACTAACTGTAGACAGAAAGCAGTAAGGTGCAGACTCTGTTACTCTATTATTCAACCTGTGCCATCCTTGGCATTTCAGGTGCTGGTTTTTTTTTCATATTTCAATTGTGGTGATATAATCTTGCTTAATGCCAAACACAAGATGTGTACTGTGGTTCAAAAGAACCCTGCTTCCCACAGTAACCTACGCTGAATAAGCTTGGGCTCTGACTCTCTGTAAGGAAAAAAATAAAGATTAAGGGCACTGTATAATCTAAAGTGAAAATGTCAAGACTGCAAGGTAGCTTTGAAGGACCAAACTGAGGCTTCAGAAGGCAGTAAAGGTGCAAACATCTGAGACACATGTAAAATAAAACAAACTACAAACAGGCCTGAACTGTCATGGATGCTGCATCCCTTACAAATACAGATCAGTGCTCCTCATATACCATCCGTTTTATTGTTCCATACAAGCACTTCTTTTCAGGATGTTCATTTTCATCAGTAAAAATAAAAATAAGCTTCATCTCCTTGTCAGTTTTGGAAGGAGTCCCAACACCATCATCACAACCAGCCCAGGTGAGCCCCCTGCAGAAGGCAGGTGTTGTGAATTCTTTGCTGCATGGTCCATCAAGCTCCTGTGTAAGAAGTGAACACTGACATCGTATTCCATCTGTTTATCATAGTTTAAGTGGCAAAGATGTGGTCCACCTGGGCTGAGGACCATGTTAAGCCAACACAAGTGAAGCTCAGGACATCCTCTCAGAGCTCAGTGGCCTTCACAGCTTTCCTGTGGAAGGGAAAAACAGAGTTGTACTGTGCAAGTAAAGGAGGATGTAAACATGGAGGTTTAGGGATTGACCTTATTAATATTAATAACAAAAGGTTAAACTAGCCCGGTTCTAGACCTCTGAATCGCTGCCCACAACTCAGATTTTATCAGTAATTCAAATAATATTTAAACAAAATGGTAATGGAAATCAGGAGAAAGTTGAGCTGTTTACCATTTGGAAACTGCTTTGCAATGAGGCAGCTTGCAAAACTTTATACATGCATGTAGTCCATCTCCACTCAAACAAAACACAGAGACAACTCTGAAACTGAATGTTTATCCAAATGTGTAATGTTACAGCTACAGGTGGGTGTAAAAACAGAGAGTCCCTTTTAATGTGAAAGACACTACTAGAAAAAACCTGCTATAAAAACTATAACTTGATGGGGGGGGGGGATTAGAAACAGGAGAAAGAACTGTGATGTAACTGAACTCAAATCTACTGTATATTTATAGATCCAATAAAAAATTCAATAAGTTCAGACTTGTGCATGTTCTTGGAGGAATGCGTTAGTAATCCTTTTAAAAAAGGAACACAAGTGTTTCGTTATACGCAACACAATAAGCTGAATGTAGTTAATAGATATTGAACAGAAAATGTAGTTAAATGTACTGTAGTTAAACGTAATGGCTTAAGTAGTTTAAAAAAAGCAGACTGTGGGAAACGCAATCATTTGCAGATTACTAAACCTGTTTATTTAATGGAATATCAATCAGCTGGCTTTAGCTTTGTGTCCCTAATTATTTGCTGTTGCCCCAGTAAATCTGGACTTTGCACTTCTCTATTGCTCCTGAGAAAAATAAAATCCAGAGTTCAAACCAGTTGCCTAAAGCCAAACATGCAGAGCAGGTTAAAACTGGTGCTCATGATGTAAGTCGACCCAGGCAACCGCACAGCCACTTTTATGAAACTGGGACAAAACACACTCACATGCATGAACATAGACCTACCCAGGCCTTTTCCCATCTTTTTAGCAGTTGCTCATGCTCTGTGAGTGCACCTCTCCACTGGTTCAAATCCCTGGATGGAATGCTCTCCTCATCTGTCGAACAACAACAGCCTTTATATATAGAAACCATAACAGATGCCCATCGCTGGACTAATAAAATAATGGCAGTGCTGACAACCAATCCCAGGCACTCCATAGCCAGCCATCACAACAACATCGGGTCCAGATACCTCCAATAGTGAGGCGGAGGTCCACCTCAGACATATCATTCCCTGTGCTGGCCTCCGCGACACAGTGGTAACGGGCGTCCTTGATCAGCGGCCCCTCTCGGAGCCAGCTGCTCACTAGTACCTCCCTCTGACCCAGTGGCTTGCGGTACTCCATTATGGGGGTGTCCAGACTGTGCCCATTTATAAGCCAGTGAATGTGGACATCACTTGGACCTGAGGGACAGAATCAGACTTCATGTTTGACCCCTGATGGTCGAGACACTGACACGCCACTGACACTCCACATAGACGTGCTGTACATGAAATGGAAATACTTGCCTTCAGTAGGTCCATTTGTGGGGTTCAGTTTCTAGAGGTTGGACTGGATATACATGCAGTTTATATGTATGCACAATGCCTGATATCAGCTGATATTCAGTGCATTTTTAACAGTTTGAGACAAAGCTGTACACGTATATGTTTGCATAGAATTTATATAATTCGAAGGCTAATTTGTCACTAGGAAGAATAGCTGTATTTCCATCAATTTTTCTGCTCATATTTTCAGTATGTGCAATGGGATCCTGATCTTGTAGCCACATACAGTAGTTTGGTTCTGGGGTACATTTTGCCATTATGCTCACAAATGAGTCCAAAATACAATGCAGTCAAAAAATTTAAGCAAACGAGCCAGTGTTGAAAACATTTGACAAGATTTATTTAGCCTCCCTACCAAGAGCAATAGTCCCAGAATGTCTGTCCCCTAGATTTATGTACATCTTCAAAGGTATTTTTCCATATATACAAATATATTTACATTTGTTTACAGGCACAAAAAAATGATCCAGATAAAGTATTGAGATGTAAGACATTTGAGCATACTATAATTTGATCTGAGGAGAGATTCTCAACCCCTTGGATGAAAAAAAAAAAAAAAGGATCTAAACTTCACACGTTTCACATCAGAATGCTGTTAAAACAATAATATAAACAAAACTGTACCTTTCGTTTACATAGAGTTGAGAACTGTTTAAGAACCAGATCACTGAGAGGTTGACAGTTTAATATCAGAACCCAGCTTTGTCTTTTTAAAACATTCACTCATTATACGAGACACCATAAAAAAAAGGAGATGAACAGGGACGCCTGTTCATCTCGAGTCAGACACCTTAAAGCAAAGAGCAGGCTAGTTTTAAACAAAACCAGAAACGCACACATATACACACACACACACACACACACACACATTCCCAGTTAGTTTATATTTGGGAAATGGTAACATGCAAGGTGTAGAAAGGAGAGAGAATGAGTGAAAAAAAATAATGGCACAAAAAAAGAGGGTTAAGATTTCCAAACCAAGCAAGAGCAAGAGGAAGAGTTTGGATTGTGTCAGCGTCACAAGCACCACTCACCCAAGGCCAGGCAGAAGAGCAGGAAGGCCTCCTGGGCATGAACCCCCCAAGCTTGGTCCTTCAGCAGGGGAGGCAACAGTCTAACCTCTGCCTCCCGGGCCTCCACATAGTGGGGCTTGGTGGAGGAGGAGGTGGAAGAAGAGGAGGAGGAGGAAGAAGAAGAAGAAGAAGAAGTGGAGGAGGAGGAAGGGAAGGCGGAGGGAGTGCTACTTCCAGAAGAGGACAGGGAAGATGAAGTGTCGACAGGAGAGGAGGCTGTGAAGGAGGGAGTGATGGGAAAAAAGAGAGAGTATTGAGGAAAATAGGAAATCTAAACAAGGGGATGACATGCAAAACAGACAGAGGGGAGACTAATGAATGAGGGCTAGGATCTAAAAAACAAAATTGGCTGCAATAAATAAAATAAAAAACAAAAAAAGGGGAAGATCACGACTACTTACACAATAGACAAAAATGATATTACCACAGACGTGACTCATCTTAAATAATAATTCTCTGAAAATGTTCTAAAACTTAAAACATAATTACAAAAAAATAACTTCAGATTGTTTCCAGGGCTGTTTTTAGAAAAACAACAAGTGATGATGGATATCGCCAAACATCGTGTCATTCTGAACATATTTATGTTATTAACAGACCACAGCGAAGATGACTAGTAGAGGTTAATACACAGAACCGTCGGAGTTGTCACCATGTAGGAATGTCGAATTCACAGGGAGCGAAAAAATAAAATACAGAGAAACTCAACACTGTCACTTTAGACAACTCCACACAGGACAGTGGTTGGATTTATACCAGCATTTTTCTAATGCGCAATTCAGCACTTGTCCGCTTGTTTTTCCTCTTTTTCTGACCTTCAAACCCTACATTGCCACCGCACTGGGTGAGATTAAGGCCCACATACCAGGTGCTGCAGATGGCAACACTGTACAACAAAGCCAGGCTATGATGTACTGAGCAAATCTTCCCTGAGAAATTACTGTAATGTTGAAGCATTTACCCATGTCCAATAGCCTACACATTGCTTCGGAAAAAGAAAAAAAGAAATTAAGCAAAAGCTTCAAGAGATTATTTCTCACCCAGGCTGTACAAAAACATGACTCCAATTTGGAAAACATCAAGGTAACTTACCAATTTGGTAAACAATGTTTCCAATTTGGAATTTAAGAAATAGCTTTTCTTGCTGGACTAAGCTGAGGGGGGGCAGCTTTCGTGGATACAGTTTTTGCTTTATCATCATTAGCCCTAAATCAGACAGCAGGATTTAAATCTCTACAGGCAAGTGGGGCGCCTGACTTAAGCATTATAATGATTAAACTTCATCTGATGCTGTACACTTAACATACTTTCACATAGGAGGAAACCACTTAGACTTATAAGTTGTGGGAAGATGCAGCAAAAGCGTGACCCCCATAAATAGTCTCTAAGAAAAACAAAAACAAAACAGAGGCTTCTGGCTAGACGTAAAGTTAATCTGCATCTGCAAACTGGATGGGCTGAGATTCACAGTCCACATCGAAGGGTTTCTCCTGGGAGGGGCTGTCATCTCCAAAGCTGTGAGAGGGGATCCGACCATTGCCGCACTCCGGCTCGGTCTCGTACCCAGTGTCACGGAGAGCCCGGAGGTTCTGAGTGGCTTGGCTGCCGTTCTGCGTCGGCTGCTCCGTCATGTTAATTTTGTCAGTTGCAGACGCTTCCATTAGACCTGCTTCACAGGCCCGATACTCGGGCTGATTGGCGCTCTTGTGACTGCCCAGCAGAGCAGCTCGCAGCCGCAGGCAGGGGGCTGGGAGGTACTGCATGTAGCAGTTGTACACCAGTGCGGCCAGGAAGAGGAGGAAAAACAGGAGGAAGAGGAAGAGGAGGGCGGTGCTGTTGTTGTGCTGCAAATACTCAGCCGCTGGGTCCTGGCTGCCTGGACGAGGAGTGCTGGAGCTCGGGGCCAGATGTTGGAACTTGATTGTGCTGCTGGGGGGTGGGGTTAGTGATGAGTCAGTTTGGGGTGGGGAGGTGAACTGGACTGTGGCTGTGAAGCTGGGAGGGGCGAGGGCCGAAGTTAGTGGGGCTCTGTCTATCTTACCATTACCTTCAGCTGCGTGTGCGCTAGATATCTCCTGGCTGCCGAGGGTGGTGGTCACGTGGCCTGTCTGGTGCGGGGGTCTGGGTGGGAGATCCAGAGTCAGGACATATGCAGCCAGAAGGCGGCTGAAGTTCTTCCCGGCGGCAGGGGCCCATTCCACGGACCAGCACTCGTAGTGACCTTGATCCTCTGGAGCCACGCTGTAAATAAGGAGACCATTTTCGCCTATGAGGTGGAAGCGAGAGGCTTCAGTGAGAACCGAGCCATTGGATTTCCACATCACCTGGGCCAGGTTGGAGCGCACCAGGCACGGCAGCTCAGCAGAGCTCCCCGGTTTCACTTTCACACTATGGTAGTCCTTCAGAGACCGACCTGACACTACAAGGCAAAACAGAAAGAAAATAATGACTTTTGGGCAGTTTAAGTCTGGTCTAGTCAGAGATTTACAAACAAGGCTTATAATTAGGATTGAGGATGAACACAGCATTTAAGTTATGTTATGATAATTAAATAATCAGAATCCAGGATGATGTTCATCAATGTACGCAGTGGGATGTTTGATGTTGCTGCAATTTTGGGAAAAACAATTTCCCCACAGTGTTGCGTCAAGAAGGTAGTAAGCAGTGATCGCCTACTTTCGACTCTCACTGTTCACGTTACAAAAGGTTCTCATTAGGTTGTACGTGAGCATGTTGAACCCTTACCTGAAGGACACTTGTCTGCGTCACCATTCAGGCTTTGGATTAGACTCCTGAAAAAACAAACAAGCATTATTTTCGTGACGATCTAAAATACATACACTCAGACAGTCTGAGACAGTAAAGCAGGTCTGACTGGATGGATTATCAGCAAAGATGTCTCTCGATAGTGGGTTTTGCTTTCGTTAACCAGTGTAGTAATGCATGAGTGGAGTACCGGTATGTAGAGGGGAAAAAAAGAATGATCGAGAGTGAATGCTGTAAATCTAGCTTAATGGTGAGTTACCCATTGGGTTTGCTGGGAGCATCAAAGATGTTGACACAGGCAGCAGTGTGCAGGTCCCAGGCGCAGTATGGGTCACGAGCCAGGACACAGTCATCGCAGGACAGATACCTGCCGCAGAAGGCCGTGGGTGACTGGACTACGCCCGAGTCTGAACCAGCGTACAGGGATCGTGTCTGTAGAAGCACAAAGTTGTTCACGTAAATATGCCACAGAAAGAAGTGAACTGAATTTCAAGTAAAAAAAAAAAAAAAAACACATATCAGATGAAAAACACTAGATTCAAAAGTCGAGAAAAATTTGTGTCTGCAAAAGTTGTACCCGCGTGACTCCAACCACAGTAAAGATAAATATGCAGTCTCATTTAATTTAGAGAACTCTTCTCAGCAACTTCCTATTGTGTTCTTTTTTACAGCAGAGTAAACACACACGCTCACACTGCATAAACTGCTGACTGAGTCTTACGTCTGACACCTACTAATTCTGTTACTGCTGTACAGTTACTGGGAAGTCACTGACCTCAGAGGACAACAGCAGGTTCTTGATTGACTCGGAGTTCTTCAGGAGCTGGATCTCCTCCACAATATGCACTTCTCCTTCAAACACCACTGACTTGTGCAGGACACCTTTATCTAATGATGGGAATGGAGAAATGTCAGTCATTCAGATTCAAACGCCAGATATTAGCCAATACAGGATGTACTAAATGAACTGTATACCAATGTGACCAATGTTGTAAACAGACATTATCCACAAGTTCTGCTGTTGAGACATGTCTTTTAAAAAGTTTGCAATTATTTCAAACTGGAAAATGAAATCTGTCCAACCCTCTTTGACAGCTCAAAATGTAATCTATGTAAAGATAACACACGTAAACATAATAAAAACATCCTTATTTACAGTTTCAAGGGTTAACTGATGTGTATTCACCTGTTCCAGTGAAGATGACATCATAAATGTTTTGATCGAGCGCCCTGACCCTCTCCACAACGATCTGAGTGTAGTTCACGTCTTTGGTGATGAGGCGAGGCCCGTTGCCAATGGGCAGGACGGGATCCTCCAGCAGGGGGTGGTCCTTCACAAACTGAAGGGTCTTGTCTGGCAGGTGGAGAGAGCTGCTAATGTTCTGCTGTCGCATCAGGTTGTTGATACACTAGTGGAGGTAAAAATGCATGACATTTTTTTATTTTAAAAGTATGTTCACCTCCACTGTATGTGTAGAATAAAATTAGACATGTTTTTCTGTCTGTTTCATAGTTACTAAATAAAGCATTTACTGGACCTGGACTACACAAAATTTGAACAAACATGACACAAAACTGAACTCTTAATTATTTGTGCAGTGTTGAAGGTACTTACGGCTCCTGGACGCGGAGAAGGAGTGATGCCGTTGTACCGGACCCACTTAGTGTGGGACTGCTCCACTGTGGCCTTCTGCATGTACTTGCCCTTGGAGAAGACCTCTTCCACAGCTGTCATGTTGTAAGCACACACTGCTGACAAACCCACATTACCCCTGGGGGATGAGGATGATGATGGAGTCGGAAGAGGAGTGGGGGAGGAAAGAGAAGTGAAGTTAAGGACCATGCATTATATCAAAATATAACACTTTTTCCCCTCCTTTTCTGTCCCCTACTGATCCTCTACTTAAGATCAGAACACTGACCACTGGGAGGTGAAGACCCCATAGATGACCGTGTCCCTCCAGTCTGCCCCCTTTAGGATGAAGACATCATGTACTACGTTGAAGACGAAGTTGAGCTCAGGCATGGAGCACACCAGCTTAGCTTTCAGGAAGGACGTCCATTTCTTCTGCAGAGTGCGCTGCCCCCCGAGGTCACCCTGTGGAAGAGAGGCCCATTAGGCGGTGTGGGTGGAGGAAAAGTGGTGGAAAGAAAAGAAACGAGAAGCGGGAGAGGGAATGGCAGGTGATGATGAGTATGTGTGTAATTTCCATTAGGGGTGGGGGAGGGGGTGTCCCTCACTTTTATTGTGTCCAGTCGATTTTCTTACCAAAGTCTTGTCAAAATTCCCCAGATAAGAGAATTGTTGACAAATATGGCTGATACAATCGTCTGAGCTGCCTTCAGTTATTATTGTTACCTCGAAGCTATAAGCCCAAGCAGTACTAATCAATGCCATGACTTTTTTTTGCCCCCGTTTTCGCCTCTCAGGCTACCCTAACATATTGGTGAAGGTTGCCGGGGCTGTATACGTCAGATAGTATCAATTTACCCTTGAATATGTCTGACCAGCTTCTCATTATAACGTTTTTATGAACTCTCACAGGAACATTAGGATTAGTGAGGTAAAACATTTATTTTCAAACTTGGTCTTGATGCTAAGGCATGTTTTTGGAAGGGAACCTTATTTTGTCACAGATTTATGTGTTAAGCTTAGGACACAAGTTCTTTGTTTGAAAAATGTTTCACTACTGCAGTAGTATTTTCTTCACTTATCGTCCATGTGGGCTGGGCACTTGAATGAGCATGACACGATGACACAGTGAATAACATGACTGACTATCTGTAACTGATTTGCACCATGATATGAGCTCAGGTTAGATAAAGAAAGAGATACATGATAACAGAAGGAGGCAGAAAGAGGGATCTAGACAGAGAAACACATGCACGCACAGACAATGGGAACATAAGGGCTAAAGACGGATGCTGCTGGTATGTGCAGATGGTACATGACGTGTACTGACCTTACAGACGCGCGCCACCCTGGGGATGAGCAGCTTGCCAAAGAATTCATACTCCACTGACACCTCAGTAAAGAAGTAGTAGATTTTATCGTCATCACCATCTACTCGGTTTGTCCCTTCCCTGATCACGTCGGCAAAAACAAAACTGGGCTCTGCAAGGAAAGCACAGAGAGGGGGAGAGGGAGAAACGTATTGGTAAAATGGAGTATAGTAAAGGAAGACAGAGACAATGGATCTGCTATTGCGAAAACCTCATTGTAGTGTAAAAAAAATAATAATTCCCGGCAATGTAACAATTTTTCTTTCAATTAATTCTAGATGTTCACATGTTGTCCCAACTCACCATTGAGCCATGATGTGGAGTACTCTGTCCTCAGCAGAGACTGCGATGGAGAGTATCTGGAAATAATCGGTTCACTGCCTAAGAAGTTATAAGCTGTCCCCGAGTACAGCTCTCCGTCTGATAGAAAAGCATGGAACAAAACAAAACAAAAAGTAATTTATTGTCCAGCATTTGCCCCCCCCCCCAAAAAAAAGATTATTGGGGATTACAATGTATTTTACTGCAGGGCTGATAACCACAATAGCTCTTTGTGAAATGACACAAAACTGGCCTCAACTCACCAACCATGACAGTAGTAAAGCTTTGTGAGGGGTCAAAGGAGCACTTCCCCCTGCCATCTTCAGGTCGACCGTCCAACGAAAAGTCTGCAAGGTTCTGAAAGAGGGAGTTCAAGATTAAATTTCAGTTAAAGGTTGCTGCAATGATTGGCGAGCCAAGGCACATGTTTATTTGTGCAGTGTGATGTTACCACTTAAGAGGGGATTGGCCATTAACCTACCAAGTAGTCACACTGAGGTTGAAAGGCGTGTGTGCCGCAGACGTACAGACGCTCATCGTCTACGACTTGGAGCACTCGAATGTAGTTTAGACAATCCCTCTGGAAAGCAACATTCAATAAACAAATTAAAATACTCTCATATTCTATTGTAGACTGTTAGTTTAAAACACTAGAAAGTGTGATTCTGACACAATATAGAGTAGGTTAGGACAAACATATGAATTATTGAACTAACCTCTTTTGATTTTCCTTTAAGCGTGCACATCATCATAGGGTGCTGTGCAACTGTCCACTGAACCTAAAATGAGTTAAGAATATTAAAATTTTGTAACGTATTTCATTTCTGTTGTCACAATCTTATTCATATTTTGTTACCTTGTTGTTTCTGACTGTCACATTCTTCTTGCTGAGCTCAAAGATGGCCTCCCGGGCTCCCACATACAGTGCATCCTTTTTTTCACTCAGCAACAACGTAGAATAGTTGAAGATGTCAGGCTCTGAAAACTCCATCAGATCTAAATCTGAGCACAAAACCATTGGATCAAATTACTTTAACATCCAAGATGACCATAAACTACAGTAAACATGCTTAGTTTTACTTTTAACCTGTGCATTCAACAGTATTGAGAATTTTATTTAAAGCTGCTATAATCAACAATGGCTCAAATGACATTTGTAATGTGAAAGAGGTTGTTTGCAATGACGAACCCAAAGATAATTCTCAGCCATGCTCCAGTTCCCCTCAGCTTTACAAAGCGTTTTAACATCTTTCAGCTTATTGTTTTGGTTTTAGAGGTGGGACTGATTCCAGTTGCATTAGGCAGGTTTTTAGAAAACAAAAGCTCTGATAAACCCACAATACACTACCTGTTTAGAACAGTCACTATTAGCAACTAGCTGGTGAGCATAAACAGAGCTGATCTCTGTTTGGTGGAGACCAAAACAGAGCTGAAAGAATAGCAAACATTGGACTGACATCAGGTGGGCAAAAACACGACTCCAAATGAATGGTAACATTGCTCCATGTGTGGTGAATGTATAAATACTTGCCATTTTGCACAACTAAATAAGCTAATTAAATGTCAGTATAGTTTTTACAGCCTGTTTCCACAGCCCACAAGTGGCCAAAAACAAAGAAAAGTTAATGCACCTCGAGTTCTTCAGGAGGAGTAAATGGGTAAATATAAACTATTTCAACAAAAGGTGATGTAGTCTTGAGATAAGACCACCAAAACACAACTGCCTTTCTAAGTGAGACAAATAAGTATTGTGGTGAGTGCATCTCTCGTTATACTCTGTGATGTGATTCATGGCAAACCTAGCAGAGAGTTCGTGTCTGGCTGGCTTTGGTTGTACCAGGTGCAAGTGGGTTCGGGTTGCAGGTGCCTGGACATAAACACCACAATGATGAAAGCAAATACCCTCACTGACTGACTGAAACAGTGACTGTGCCACAGCGAGTGGAGAAACTCGACTTTGTTAAAGGGTGAGCTGTGCTGGTTCTCACGGATCGAATGAGTTAGTGGAGCTATTTATGTAAACGGAAGTATGCAAACAGAACTTTCAACTGACAGTGAGTGCTCTAACTGGAGAGCCTGTGGTGAGCCTGAGGTGAGGCTGAGTGAAGTCCCTTGAGATACATTAAAAAATTTCAGTGAACCATCTGTTGTGAACCTTGATATATCTATATAGTAAAAAGGCTCAGTTCTCCACGCAGTGCTAGTAAAGCAACTGAACTTGTGAACCGAAGATGAAGCAAACTTGTGAATACCAACTTACCAAATTGAGTGCCTTCAAGCAAAGTTTCAGTTTAAATCACAGCGATTTCAAAAGAGCATTTACCTGAAATAGTTTAGATTCTTGAGAATTAAATTTAATGTAAAATGCACACAGATGTATAGGGATGTTATTTTTATTTTTTTTCACATATTTCTATGTACATTATAGTATATTATAGTGTTCTTGTTTTTATGTCTATTTATATCCTCCTGTAACTTGTTCTTGGAACTGAACTGATACTGAAGTATACTGAGAATAATAAAAAACCAGAGTCACATTCCTTGTAAGTGCACAAAATCTTGTCCAAAAAAGTTGATTCAGATTCCAATATAAAAAATATGTGATGACTTGATATATTTATCAATTGATTGATTTGAGAAAAAAAGAAAAAAAACACTAACTTAAAATAAAAAAGTGTATTTTATATATTAGTAGTAGTAGTAGTAGTAGTTTCTATTATCAGCAATACATCTAATGAATGATTTGTTCACCTAAAGAATGATTATCAAAACTGCTACCGATTTTCTGTCAAATGCTTAACATTGGATGGATAAATCTTTTACATATCTAAAATTAATTATTAATAATACATTCAGCCTTACCTTGGTGTCTCCAGGAGGTTCGAGGCACAGCATGGGGTCCATGGGTGGAGACCTCTAGGAGCAGCCCCAGAAACACTCCCAGCACACCAAATCCCATATTGGACTCTGATAACTTTGGAACTGTGAAGTTTCCTCTGTAAGACAAACGTGACGAGATACAGTTAAAACCTGATGCATTAAAACAAAAATATTTTACAAGCATATAGAAACAAACAAATTCCTCACAGGCTGATCTTATCATGCAGCACAGATACTAACAGAGAGGCATCAAATCCACTTCCCTCATACTGAAAGCTGGCAGGACTGATTCATCCTCTTTTGTATCGCTTAGGAGGTTAGTACAGCACGTCACATGCATTTGAATAAAATCAATGAAGACATTTTGGACAGAAATAACACAAACAGAGGGAAGGGTGCAGCACGCTATGAGGTCCTGTACTAAAGTGAAATACAGTGGCTGAAAAAACCCTACTCTTGTTTGCACAATTATTACACACGCACAGTTGGTCTGACACTATGGCATGCAAATGAATGCATATATTTAAAGTCTATTAAACAGCGTAGTTACTGTGGTGTGTCTTATAATCAGTGTATGACACTTCGGTTTTAAGAAAATCCCCATTTTACTGAACACATATTATTCTGCACCGTGTTACTGTTGAGACACAGTGATAGGTGCATTTGTTTGCCTCGGACGATGATGATGGCGACATCATTCCTGGTAGTTATCAGCTCTTATTAATATGCGGGTGTCATTTTCCATTTGCCAATTAGCATTGTGATCTGTCTGCCTTTTAACAGCCCTCTACATTCACTTCAGGATGTGCCTGATAAGGACTCCATTAAGCAGCTCTTTGCAAACTGTGTAAACAAAGTGTTTATCTTGTCCAGACTGACCTCAGGAGGTTGGTGTTGTTATGTTATGATTCTATACACTAGTAAAATCAATAAGTTATTCCCTTCCCATTCCCCTGGGGGTATAGCGTTATATCACTTATTAATTCCAGTATAAGTACGTAACTGTATAATAATTGGTAAACATTCTCTCGGTTTTGCTTTGGTTGCAGTATCACCTAAATATAGAAGATGTGGTAACTATAACTAATAATATTTTAGTGTTTTCGGTCATTTTGTTGGGACTCATTTGTGTAAAATGATAATATCTTCTGGTTGAACAAACGCCTGTTTTAGGTCAGCAGAAAAGCAGGGGGGGAAAAGCTCATGCTTTAAAGCTTAAGTAAAATATTAAAATAAATCTCTAAATCTGTTCTCAATCCTGCTTGTAATACATGCAATGTTTGCCAAATTTACTCCAATGCAGGGGCATGTGCAAAATAATCTTGAGGTCAATTTTCATGATTGTCAACCGAATTCCCTCTGACATTGGACGGAAGACTGATTACCTTCTTTTACTCTGCAAATATTATTAACACTGAAATGACATTAACTCAGAAAGTGATTAACTGACATAATTCAATTGTAAGGATCAAGTGCTTCCTTTCTCTTGATCCAATCATGTAAGAGGAGCAGTGTGGGATGTTTCAGCCTCTTTGTACCGTGGATTTTCTCTCACTTAACAGATGAAATTGGCCTTGATTAATATTAGACATGACTCTGGATTTCTTGCTGGCATGTGTGTTCACTGAAAGCAAGTAGTAGGCAGAAGGCAGGTGGGTCAGGCTGGTCAGGTGACTGCGTGCACTTCTGAGCAAGTAAAGTGATTTAGAGCAAAGCAGGTTATTCTGGTTTTCCACAACATGCTAAAAGGAAGCTGAAATACCCGCAACACACCTCCGCAAAAAGGGTGGGTCGGTCACGCGAAGAAGAATAAAGGTTATCGGATGTCTTTTAAGATGAGGTTGGAGATAACAAAACCTTTTCTCTCACAGGAACTAACAAGCAGTCTCGTAATGTCCCAAATTATGTGGATTTAATTAAAATAATTTTGTTCACTAGAAGTTGCAATCAAGCGGCTGAAGGGAGATTTAGTGAATATAAATGACATACAAGACAGAAGTGTTTTTACTACTAAGAAAGGTAATTTGTCTTAATTTTAGATTGTATAACCAAAATTATAGAACAAAAGATAAGGTCAAAGGACAAATAAATCATTGTCAACCACGTTTTAATGACCCAGCAGCACCATTGGGGCTAATCCCACTCAAATATAGGTTAGTAATCAGTCACCCAGCCAAGGGGGAGATATCATGTGGTACAGCAAGTATAGACAATCAATGAGGGCCACCACAGCTAGAGAAAAAAAAGGAGAGAATGATAATTGATTATTGATGTGGTTGTAAATAAGAACAAATAGCCCCAGAGGTATGACCCTCCTAATACTGGCTTTTTACAGAGTGTTTCTACCATCTAAATCTGGCAAAGATGGAATTCCATCCCAGCTTCAGCCCTAGCCATGGACTCCTCTCTGCTAAAGAGGGGGTCAAATATACAAGGACCTATTGTTTACTGAAGATGAGGGTAGCCTCCACTCCACTCAACCCCCACATCATCACTGCAAGAGTATTCAACAATGAACACAGAGAGAGAGAGAGAGAGAGAGAGAGAGAGAGAGAGAGAGAGAGAGAGAGAGAGAGAGAGAGAGAGAGAGAGAGAGAGAGAGAGAGAGAGAGAGAGAGAGAGAGAGAGAGAGAGAGAGAGAGAGAGAGAGAGAATCACTTCTCCATCTCGTCTAGTTCTTTTACAGTCTTGCCAATCTAAATGCCAGGACAGCTTAACCCTGAGCCAAGCCAGTGTTTTCAAAGATCACACAGGCCCATGAGATCTGGAAGCACCCCGTAAGGATGCTCCATAAACTGTCTGTTGACGGCAGTAGAGACTGCTACTGTTGAACAGAGGGAGAAAGAAAGGGAGTGACGCAAGCACAGTGTGAATGGACGAGATAACAATACTGAATCAACGATGAAAACCCCAGACAGACAAAAATTATCTTGTTTTGGCCTTTGAAAAAGCCTCTATCGACACACTGAAAAGCCTCAACCATGACTCATCCCACTATCTGTGCACTCCTGATGCCCTCCATCAGTCTTACCACTCTGAACCCCATTTAGGGCAAAGGTTTTTAAAAAAAAAAAAAAAAAAAGCTCCAAACCCCTTTGAGTCAGTGTTACAGTAGCCGAAAGAGCATATTGGCAGCTACCCTATGCCGCTGAGAGATTTAGGAGGAGTGGCCACACTGGCCTGGGATATTTAAGACGGTTACCATGCTGGCAGGTCTCTTTGAGCCCTTTGTGTTCCCCTCTCAGCTCCTTTGGTCGGGCAGGGAGGTTGACACCTGCTTGGGGCCTTGGGGTTCCCAGCACTGTGCTGTTAACTGGGCACACACATTGGCAGGCTGCCCACTGAGGACAGGGGACAGAGAGGGGGCTCTGCCTATCGGTACACAAGCACTCAGAATGTGTTGGTGAGTATGAAAGAGAGAAAAACATAAATTTACTTACTCCGGGAAGTGTTTTTATGTCTTTATGCGACACCGTGCCAACCATTTCATTTTGATTGAAGCCAGTCATCATAATAAATCACTGTAACTAGATTTAACTGGGTTGGGGGTTTGCAGCTATGTTTTTTTTTATTATTGTTTCTTTTTGGCTAATTACGCATGACCACAGTGAATTACCATGGCAGCCTACTACAAACCACACTCTTTCCTAATTGGCCAGATCTAAAGCAAACGAATACAGTTTGTTTGGTCTTACTCAGAGAGCAGGGTCCTCGTAAAGGACAAAATGAAAAAGAGATACAGAGTGGCAACTTGACAGCCAAACAATCTTTTTTTTAAAATGCTAACAGTTGTTACAAGATAAATCCATAGGACTGTAATAAATGGGGAAAACATAAAGAAAAACAAATTCCCTCTTGTGGATGCAAATGAAATGCTAACTCAAAGTTTTTGCAGCACAAAAAGACAACAGACTACAGTGCCTGCCAGAAAGTGAGAACTGGGCTCAACACAAATCCAGTCCATTAGGCACGATAGCAAAAACCTTTGATTCCAACCAGGTGGAAATTTTGAAATATCAAGGAAAACAAGCTGGCAGCTCACAAATAACCAGATGATGTGTTTTAACACTCCAAGAAACTGGTTAGAAAAGTTGGGGTATTTGACTGGTTCAGGTTCAGGCAGCGCTGGTTGCCATCTTCTTGTCCGATGAGTTTTTCCTTCTAGAACCAAACTTTCTGCTCACGGTGAGCAAATACAGTGACCAGACAGAATAGTCTCATATTCAGCAGTAACAGTCAAAACACGATACAGCCTCATCATATATGATGCAACAATCAAGTGCAAGCTTGTGTTCACCATAAATCTGGCTTAAGTGGGGGATCAAACCAAAAACAGCAACGTGCAAGTGCAACTCTGAAAGGTTATCATGGCGGCGACTACTATTCCTTTTATTCGTCACAACGGTCGTCTGGTGAACTGTAGAAATACGCCGTTCGTGTTACAAAGTAATCCACCAGGAATGTACACTTGCAAGTATTTGATCGGTCAAAGCATGATGTGACATTGCAGCAAAAGTTAAGCCTGGTTCGACTTTTTTTGCTTGCATTATTTTGCTGGATCCCCGTGTCAACGGCCTGGATTCATTCAATCAAATGGAGGGCTCAAGTCAGTTTGAACACATCTGATTTTGTTTTCAGTGATTGTCATCCATTAAAGTAATAGGAAAGAATGGGCTAATAAGTAAATAGTTTAGGTCAATTGAAGCTGTATTAACAAAACCAACTCAAAAGGGAATCCAATTCACTGATGAAATGGTGGGATGACTTGTCACGTAAGACCCCATGGGGGCCAGTGCACCGCTTGCCACTTCATTTCCAATGCAGAGAGAAAAGAAGCGGCACATCCTGTGAGCGGAGAGTATGTGAGGATACACAGAGTGTGATGGAGGGTGATGTGAGGGAGTTGGACATTCAGTGCCTGCCAACAGCTCCAACCCCTCACTTCTTTCCCCTCACTGGCTCTCTTTTCCATGTACTCACTCACCATCAGCATCAATGCACAGAGATGCTCTTCTTCCTTTTGCTGCAGCACGCCAAGAGGCTGCTTCTCATTTTTTTTGTCTGCTCCGTCTGTTGCTTTAGTACCAATTGGTCTAACCGCGCGCAAACAAACAGTGTAATGGGAAATGTGCTTCAAGTAGCTGATTTTATGGAAAGAATGTCTCTTCTGGCAGTTTAGTATGACATGTTCATGCTGTGCTGCACACCAACTTCGCTTTAAGTTGTTCTCCTTCCCCTTGGTTAAAATAATGGTTACTTCTGCAAACTTCAGCATTTTGTGGTGCTATTGAACCGCATTACATATGATTATACCAACAGGCGTTTCTATTGTTTTGTCCACCCCATTTATATCAACATGGGTAGGCTAAATGACAGGAATTTTTCTTTGTACAATGTAGTACAGTTCCAACAGCACCACAAACTTCCTTCCAAAAGGATCAAACAGTTCGAACACCACCTGTCTTTAACAAAAGCTGAACATTATAACCTTTATAAAAAGGTAGGATAGATAGCTAAAACTAATACAGTCTAATCCTTAGTGTACCTAATAAACCAATAACTGAGTGCATATAATACAGTTTCTTAGTTGTATGATTGCTGACTTAATCCACCGGACCATCTGTACAGTACCCACCCAGCTGTGGGAATAATGATAACACAGCACTGACAGTTTGTGCAAATTAGGGTGCTTTGCTGAAGGTTTTCTAATAACCCCATCACATCGCGGTACACAACTGGTAATAATGTAACGATCACGTGACTGTCGGGTCAATATTGCTGCATAATTGAATCAAGAGCTCGATGAAAGCACATCTTTGGGTTTTGCGCTGTTGTTTGTTGTCGGACAAAACATTTTAAAAAAGGTCACCATGAGCATTTTGCTTGTTGTTTGATCGATTAATTGTTGGTCTATAGAATATCAGAAACTGAGAAAATAATCTGTAGATTTAAAAGAGAAAATGCCTTTAGCATCCCCCACAACACATTTTATGTATTGCATATTTGTCAGCAATCACATGGCACAAACCTTCCTTAGACTCGCATCGGAAGGTTTGTTTTGCAATAGAAAAGAAAAATGTCTGTAGGACTCAAGTACTGTTGGTCCTTCCTTCTATAACAGCACTAGGGCTTGATCTTATATTCCCCAGGGGTATTGTGGGTTATTTGGAGCCAGGCCTGGATGAGAGTGAGTGAGCGAGAGAGCCTTCACTTGAAACAAAATACTGAGACCACAGAGGATGACACACTGATGGGGACAGATGTCTGCTCCAATGTCATTTGCAGATTAATGGCTATTGGCTATAGATGTGGCAGAGACTCGAGTGCGCTCACATGTGTACACGATGATGCCAACTGCGGGCATTAAATCCCTTCCTATAAGACCAGACAGGGACCAAGAGCCCATCTTAAACTACTGCCAGCTGCATCAGAGTTTTGGGTTGCGTTTCCCCACAGGCTGATGAACTGTTTTTGACATTTCGAGTGTAGACAACCAAGGCTGCTACTATAACTCCAGCTAACTATTACACTTCCATCTGATGATCAAGGCTACAGTCGGTCTCCAGTTTTTGTGCCACTCATGGGCAACGTCTTAAACTACTCGCCCCGATTTAGCATTACACTCCTGTAACATTGTCAGAGAAAATATAAAATCAAACCAGCGAAACAAGAGATACAGCTTTTTTTTTATTCAACACACTTCCTTGTAAAAACGTGGCACCTTCATTACCCACAATGCAACACATGCGGCAACATGTCACACTCACTGTTTTTGTCTTCAGCCCCAACTGATACAGACCTAAGTGACATGTCTTGAGGCAATATTTCAGACTTCACACGCAGCTCCCTCTGAAGCCACCAAAGTTTTATACAACTTTTTTCACATATGCAGTCCTGGTACTCCCCTAGCACTGGGAATAGACTTCGATGTGTAAAAATCGGTGGAGTTCCCCTTTCTTTCAAGACCAGTCAGTCAATTTCTAAAATTATCTGGATAAACAGACACAACAGTTCAACCTGCAGCTCTGGTCCGTGTCCAAACCACATGGAATTCACTGAAGACATCAATCTTAACGTGCAAAGTGCAAAGATACTGTGTCATGTTAACATAAAGTCATCTGAAAGCCAGTGAACAGCTGTGGGACCTCCACTATGGACTATTGGAGAGTGGACTATTGGTCAGATGGAGAAAAACCATCATTAAAAACTGCAACAGATGATGCAGCAGTCATCGCACATTATCCACGGTGAGCTCAATGGATGACAGATGGGAGGAAAAGTTCAACTTTTAAAAAGCCAGATCAAGGATTACCAGCATGATCTGCTGCAACATCAATTCACATTTAAGGCTGCGTGATGACAAGAAGGACACGATGGACATTTCTGATGTGTAAAAGGCTGGAAACTGGTACAGAAAATGAAGTAGGCAGAATTAAAATCTAGGTAAACCATCAATGACAACCCAAATGTCTAAATT